GTATTAAAATTCAGACACAATAGAAGCGTCAGCATACGGAGAATGCAAGGCAGAACTAATATGATCCATCTCTAAGTCAAAGACAGGCACACCGTGGCGCAACATACTAGGCCAGTCAGGGAGGTTTGGGGTCGGGCCGAAGCGGCGACGAAAGAGGTCGTCGAGGCGGCGGAAGCAGTGGGCGGTCGGGTGCGGGCGGCGGCACACGGTGCCGCGGAGGGGCCAGGTTTGGAGCTGGTACTGGCAGCTGACATCACCTAGGCTGCCGGTAGACGCCGAGCTGCGCAGGCCGCCACCGCGGCCACCACCTCCAGAGGCTCCTGGCCAGCCCTGCGGGAGGCGGGCCTAGGTCTGCTATTGCTGCTGCTACTGCTGCTGCTAGAACTGCTGCTGTTGGGGCTGCTCCTCGACACCAGCCCCACCCCCGTTGTCAGAACCACTGTCCCCGCCACCACTACTACCACCACCAGTGCCACCACCTTCCCTTGGGGCCACGACGGCCTCGATGCCGTCGCTGCTGCGGGGAGACTGCAGCAGCATGGGCAGCCGTAGCTATCGCGGTGAAAACGTCAGCGTATGTGCACTTGGAGGGAGCACAGCCCTAAAAGATAGGGATTGCCGCAGCACCGCTCGACTGAGGGATAGTGCGCTGGCGAGTCTCTATCTAAGACAAGGCAGTGATAAAGACGGTCAGGGTGAGGTCACCAGGGTGCTGGCTAAGGAAGGTGTCGCGGGCAGTGGCTAAGCGGTCAGGCAGGCGCATGACAATAAGGTACAGGGTGGCGCACAATGGTGGGGGAAAGGCAGTGAGTTGGGCGGCAGTGCTAGCAGCGCGGTAGCTAGTCTCTAGTGCACGGAGGTGAGTGGCTAGATCAGCGACAGTGGGAAAAGCGGCAAGATCTAAGAACAGCATGTGGAGGATCAGACGGCTAGCAGAGGGCGGCAGGCGTGGAGTAGCGGGCAACTACTGGATCTAGGAAATCCTTGGCGTTTGCAACAGCAGTGAAGCGCGGACGCTCAGACAGGGGATGAGCATGACTAATGGCGAGTTGTGCTACAGCATCGCGGGAATCCCAAACAGCGCGAACGAGGGCAGCGGCAGAGAAAGCCTCATGCTCATTAGTGGTGGGGTCAGTAGGGTGGGGATCAGGCGCGGGGGGGCCGGGGAAGCAAGCCATCAACATGCACAGCAAGGGAGTGCCCATCCTGGCACTAACCTGTCAGGTGCCGATGAAGATTGACAAGCCAGACAATGAAATCGATCGCGTGTCCCTTAGTGTCAAGGCGGAGGACGGTGTCCGCCATCGTTCAGTCACAGCGTCTCAGCTCCACAACTCCACAGCGGCATAGCGGCACGGTGGCACAGCGACACGACGGCACAGCAGCACAAGTACTCAGCGGCACGGCGGCAGGACTCTCCGGCGGGAAGACCGGACGGGAAGGCCGAGCAGGGTGTACAGGGCCCGATGCGCACAGCATGCCGGCAAGGCGCACCAAGGGCCGGCGGGCGCGCACAGGGCCGGCGAGCGCGAAGGGCCAACGAGGCGCGCGAGGGGCCAGGCGGGGGCGCGAGGGGTCGGCAGGCACGCGACGGGCCGGCGAGGTGCGCGAGGGGCCGGGCGGGTGCGTGAGAGGCCGGGCGAGAGCGCGAGAGGCCGGCGAGCACGCGAAGGGCAGGCGAGGCACACGAGGGGCCAGGCGGGCTACGCGAGTGGCCGGGCGGGTCACTAACGGGGTGACGGGGCGGCTAGGGGCCTGCGAGCACGCGGTGGGGGGGGGGGGGGGAAGGGGGGGCGCGCTAGGGGCCGGCGGGTACGCGAGGGGCGGACGGATGGCGGGCGTGCTAGGGGGCGACGGGTACGTGAGGGGTGGGTGAGTAGCGCGAGGGGCCTGCGGGTTCTCTAGGGGCCGGCTGGGACGCTAGGGGCCGGCTGGCACGCTAGGGGCCGATGAAGCGCTAGGGCTATGTTACGTCGGAGCGGTAGGCTATGGCGAGGGGCGGAAGCAGGTGGGCGGACCTAACCTACTATGATACCAAGTTAGGATAGAAGAAAGACTAGAAATAGGAGAGAACACAGGATATATAGGGTTGGAGTTGTACCCCCTAAGAACACAAGCCTATCTAGCCTATAACTTCTACATACAAACTGATGTATAAGTTGACAATAACACCCTACTTTTGGGCGCGAAAATAATTGAGCACACCCTGCCACTTAGAATCTTTATTTCAACACGAAACAAAAGGTTTTGCCCTGCAATTCTGCATACTTCCTTTCCCCTTTTTCTTTCCTACTGTTGTACCGTGCATAAAAACGTGAGGGCGAGTGGGGAAAACGACCTGGTGGTCAATGCGGCACGAGTATTTACAGTGGTCAACCCTAATCTGTCCGAACGGACCTCGAAAATCCAAATTGTTCGTTCTCGATTCTCGCGCCCTCCTGCCAAAACGAACTTCCGCTGCCGCCCACAGATTGGAGGCAGCACGGACGAGGCCTGCAACAATCGTTGATTGGCTGTTTTGGCCTCAACTGTAGTTGACGATGTGGCAAGCAGATGGGCCACATCATAGGGTACGCAATGAGGACAGGGGATGCTGATGTGTGGCACAGAACCAAGTGGTGTAACATGCACAACTGTTTTGCAATAGAAAAGAACACTTATGCACGTTCCATAGAACCATGGTGCTATAACTTTTTTTGCCTTAAATTCCACCCACCCCAGAATTTTCATGAACTATTATTACCTCCCTAGGGTAATGAATCCGAGGGAATACGGTAGTTCCGCCGATGATCCTGTGGCAGGAGTGGGCGTTGATCTGGAGATGGTGCGGATTCTGGAGCTGGAGGCGTAGATGGAGCTGCTCAGCAAGGATGAGGCTGAAGCGGAAGCTGACGTTGACGTTGACGCTGACGCTGAGGCCAGCCCCACTGCTGTGGGCTCGCAGCACCAGGCGGGGGATGTGGCAGCGTCTGAAGGTGGGTCAGAGGAGGTGCCAGCGGAGGCAGGGGCAGCAGCAGCACCAGCGGCGGCAGCAGGTGGTGGTAGCGCAGCAGCAGATGAGCAGAATGCTCCCCTGGAGAGCACGGACGGTAGCACTGGCGTGACTGCTTCTGCTGCTGGCGCTGCTGCAAGTGGTAACTATGTGGTGTCGCAAGACAGTCACACTGGGAGGAGTGTTGGCGGTGGCAGTGATGATGGTAGTGATGCTGCTGGTGATGACAGTGCGGTTAATGGTGCTACTGCCGATGTTTGTGTGTTGATTGGTGCTGCAGCCGTTACTGTCAGCACCACCGTCGCCGCCGCGACGACCAGCAGCAGCAGCACTAGCCACACTGACCGCAGTTCTAGCATGACCCTGGGAAGTGTGAGCACTACGGCCTCCTTCCTTCCCACTGCTACCTCACAGCACTCCTCCCCCTCACCTCCCCTCTCCCTCCACCCCCCTCACTCCTCCTCCGCGCCCCCCTCCTCTCCTGCGCTTGATGCTATTTTATGTGAGAACGAGCGGCTTAGGGAGGACATGGCGGATATGGAAATGCAGAAGAGGCAGACTGTGTCGCACTTGTCCTCGTTATTAGACGACCTGTGGCAGCAGCACAGGGGCCTGCAGCAGTGCCTGAAGGGGATGCGGGTGGCGAAGGCGATCTGCAAGGGGTGCTCTGTGTGTGAGGAGAGGAGGCAGGCTGCTAGGGCGGATGACATGCTGTGTGGATGGGGATAAGAGGATGGGGGGGGGGGGGGGCGGGGATGAAAGGGAAGGATGCGGCAGGTAGGGAAGCAGTGCTGGAGGTCGGAATGAGGGATGGATGAGTGGGTTTGGTTTGGGAGAGCATTGGCAGGAAGGTGGTGGGGAGGAGATGATGATGTGGGATAGGATGGGGAAGGAATGTTTAGGGAGCCCTGGAGGATTTTGGGATGTTGGAGGGAACGGTTAGTGGGGTGTGAGGGTGTGGCAGCCACATGACAAGGTTTGTAGGGGCTGAATGGAATGCCGCGAATGGTTGTGGTCGGAGTGTTGGAGGTTTTGAATGGTTTGTGGGACGAAGTTAGGGGCAAGGGTTGGGGCTGTGGGAACAAAACCATGATAAGTTGGGGAGGGGCGAGAAGACGCTATTTATGACCCAAACTGATTTTGGACTGGCTACTAGTGAGTGAGTGAGTTTTGTGAAAGGTACTTCCATAAACAACTTGCTCGGAAATGTACCCGCCTGCCGTGAACAAGCTCCTTGTGCCATTAGCGAAGCAGCTCTTAGGTGAGATCAGTGCGTCCGGTGGTTGTCTGACGAGTCCCGTCGAGTCAACTGCGGCTAAACTGGTCCCACCTCTACCAAAGCCCTCGCTTCGCTGGCACATTGCAACCACGTCTCCGTCTTTTCTCCACCCAGTCCAGTCAGCTTCCCCGAGACTGCCACATTTTTGCTTCTTGCTCTGCGCTTGCATAATGAAGTGCATCGCCCTTGTAAGCAAGCACCAGTTGACAGCGCTGCCATCGGTTTTCGTCTCACACTCAGCTAGCTGATCCGATATTAGAATCCTGGCAACCCGATGCTTCTTGGTTTCCTGGCTGCACCGAGTTGGGTTTGGAGTCGCCAACTGCATCACACCAGTGTGTGGGGGCCAGTAGCTACCTCGTGCTACTTGAACTTGAAGATCCTAGAAACAGCCACTTTCGAAGTGTCAGACTTTTTTATTTTTCAATTTCGCAAAACACCCTCCGAAGCGTCAGGCTCGACAGTTTCACAGTTTCACAGTTTTACATTTTCACAGTTTCATAACCCTGAGGTTTATGACTTGAGCGCTCAAGCACGTCATCAAAGTTTAGTTGTTCGTTTTTCTCAGCTCACAGCGTTCATCCCCGCTAGCATTCCGAGATGGCGACAAAGTCTAGCCGTCCGACATGGATGCGTGTCGTTCTGTTTGCAGTAGACAGTGGCGAGGCAAGCAAGTCGGCCCTCTGCTATTCGATAGAAAATGTTTTCAATCCGAAGACCGACTACGTCATCATCATGTTCGTCAGGCCCAAGTTTGACGGTAATCTCCGCCAGTTGCTAGACAAAATCCCTGAGCCTGCCAGTGGTACTACTAGTCACTACGGTAGTAGTACCTTCTCCCTGGTGGACAAGTCCTGGCATCCATAATTGATGCGGATGATGTGGGCAAGTCCTGTGTGGTTCATCCGCGTCATTGATTGCATCTCACGCCGCTTTCGCTTGCAAGTGTATCGCCACAATCATCTCTTGCGCTACGAAAATCATGCCTCGACGTGGAACGTGCAAACCATCATGAGGTCGCATGCGTCTTGGAAAAATCATGAGGCATGCTGCAAGCACCTTTTCCCTTCTTTCCTTGCCTCCCCTTCAGCGTCCAGCGCGGACCTGCAGCGGTCGGAGCGGGCCATTGTATGCAGGGCTGAGAGGCTCTTGAACGACGCGTCGGCGGAGGTGAAGGCGGCTCACCCGGGCATTCAGTTGGAGTCTATGCTGGGCGAGGGAGACCCAAGGGACGTTCTCTGCAACCGCGCCAGCGAGGACTTTGTCGACTTCATCATCGTCGGCAGCCAGGGCAAGACCGCTCTTACGGTACGAGTCAGCCTGTTAATTTCTTCTGTGTCATAGAGCACAGTGTGTTTTGTGTGGGTGCCGCAGGCCACTTCAGGTGGAAATTAGTTGGTTCTTCAGAATAAATAGAGAGAGCAGATACACACTGTGAGTGTGAGGCGCGCACAGGGATGAGGTGTGTGTGAGCGTGTACAGCATGTGATGCAGTTTCCTCTGAGGGCGTTTGCGTGCATGCATGGTTGCATGTGTGTGTGCGTGCATGCATGCGTGTGTGCGTGTGTGCGTTTTCCCGTGGGGGGGAGGGGAGGTAAGAGGGGGTGAGGATGGGAGATTGAGTGTGTGTGCAGCAGACGAGGCACGCTTCCAGCGAGTATCGTGTGCGTGATTTCCTTATTCCGTCTCAAGCTTTTTGTTATATGCTGCTGGTTCCGCCGAGTAGTCCCAAAAGCCTAGTGCCGCCATTTCTTATCACTAGTACTTGTCATGCTCAAGGCTTGATCCGACTGCAACTGTCAACCCGGTGGCGCCACTCGCCAGCGGATGCCCTCTCTGAACTGACACTGATTTTTGAGTCGACTCAAAAATCACCAACTGACACTGCAATTTTTTATCTCCTCTATTCCTTCCCATCCCTCACAGAGCTCATCCCCTCCCCTCCTGCCTCCTTCCCTCCCTGTCCTCCCTCGTTTCCCCTCCCTCCGTCCGCTATTCCTGATTTCTCTCACACGTCTTTCTCCCTCATGAATTCCAACATGATGGTGGGGAGAGACGGAGAGAGGGAGCGCACGGCACTCACAGTAAGACAATGAGGTGAAGGAGGCCAGTGGGAAAGCTGTTGCTAATTAACAGTCGGATCCATGCTCACATGCTGCGCTTTACCTTCGCTCCTCCCCCTGTGCTCGCCCTTTCAGAAAGCAATGAGGGGGAGTGTGTCCCAGCACCTGCTGCACCATGCGCCATGCCCTGTGCTGATTTACCCACCGTCAGTACAATCACCAGGGCCAAGGAGAAGGAGATTCTCGTTTAAAGCAGCAACAGCGTATGGACACTCAGCCCCAAGTGCACCATCCACGGCCGCGCACCTTCAGCCCAAGGAGCCTGTACTCCGTCCTGCAGGAGCCCCAGCAGCAGCAGCAGCAGCAGCAGCAGCAACAGCAGCAGTGGCCGTATCAACCGCAGCGGCATCTGCTGCAGGGGGGAAGGGCGCAATAGGTGTGGGGGGAGGAGGTGGGGCGGTGCAGGTGTGCGCGCAGTACTCGCTGGCGGAGGTGGTGCAGGCGACGAGCGAGTGGGCGGAGAGCAGGCGCATCGGGGGGGGCAGCTTCGGGGATGTGTACAAGGGCGACTGCCCCCACAACCCCTCCCTCATCTGGGCGGTGAAGCGCGCCAAGGTCCTCACTAACGACTTCAAACGCGAGGTATGCTTGAGTTCGGGAGGGGGAAAGCGCTTGCGGCAGCTTTAGAGAAGGGGGAAGGAGGGAGGAAGGGGAGGGGGGGAAGGACCCAAGGTCTCATCCTTTCTTTGCTTCTGTTTTGCAGCTCTGCTGCTGACTTGTCTGCTCTCTTCAACCACGACCACGTATGGCAGGTGAACGAGATGGCGACGAAGAGCCACCCGAACCTGGTGCGGCTGGTGGGGTACTGCCTGGACTTCAGTCCTGTGACTGAGAGGATGGAGCAGATCGTCATCTACGAGTTCATGGCCAACGGCGACCTCGAGCAGTGGATCGGACCCTGTGAGCACTCTCTCTTTTCCCCTCTCCGTCCCGCTCTCCCCTGTTACTCTCACTCTCCCTCTTCTTCTCTCCCTCTCTCCCCTTTTGCACGGTTCAACGCCTCACCTAGCCACCTCATCTGATCGTTTGGCCATGGCTCGTTCACCATCCCTGCAGCCGCAAAAGAGCCTCTCACGATCCGGCAGCGGCTGGACATTCTCATAGGCATGGCTCGTGGCCTCGAGTATCTTCACGAGTTTGGGGTGGTGCATCGCGACATCAAGCCCGCCAACGTCCTCCTCGACGACAAGATGAAGGTACTCGAGCATGGAGGACGCATCGAATCAACCTGGCAGATGCACAAGCTGTCTTAAGCTCTTTGGCAAGATAATATTTGACGTTCAGACTGCACACCTAAATGCATGGCAGGCTAAGTTGGCCGACTTTGGGCTGGTGAGGCATGGAGAGGGTACTTCTGTGGCTGCCACTCGAGTGATGGGAACACCAGGCTACGTGGACCCTGCCTACTACAAGTCACAAAAGGCCACTCCCATGGCTGATGTGCACAGGTATGACTTGTGTTAATTGAACTTTGTATCAACCGAAACCTCTTCTATTGCTTATTGGCAATCTGGCATACGCTGCTCATGCACTTCATCTCCTTTGATGCCATATCTCTTCGCAGCTTTGGAGTGGTGATGCTGACAGTGCTCACGGCACGCAAGGCTATCTGCAACTTAGAGTCAGACCAGGTCAACCTGAAGACTTGGGTGACTCCTCTCGTTGCATCTAGCAACGTGGCAGCCTTCAAGGACCCTGACTTAGAAGCACCGGATACCATGGTACTACGAATGGCTCGTCTTGCCATAAGCTGCACTGCCATGCCCACTGCGACCCGCCCCTCAATGAGTCGAGTGCTGGCAGAGCTGATGGTTATTAAGGATGAGTTCCTAGGCCTAGAGACCAATAGGATGGCTGAGCGCATTGATAGAGAGCTAGACGCCTCGACACCACAAGACTTTGATGGGGAGCTAGCTCGCATCGCAAGCATCAAGTCCTATAGTGGAATGTGAGCTGCTGGATGGCTTATAGATTTTCAATCGCAGGTGAATTTTATAACCGAGGGAGGGCATCAGAAGTGATTGAACTGAAATGGGAATAGAAGAATTTGTCCATTTAGCAAGGGAAGCCTTAGGAGTTGAAGTCATATAACGCGTATCGCGTACTGACATCTTCCTGAGCGATTCGCTTCAACGAGCCGCAGGTACTGCGATTGCTGGAGACAGGCGACTCGACTTGCGCAGAGAGCCACTCCACGCGACTCAATTGCAGTCAGTGGAAGGTGAGGAGGACTTACGGAGAGTGCCTAGAAGAGGAGAAGAAATAATGGCACAAGAGAACTACAACAGGCGCTCCTTGCACAGAAAACTACGTGCAACAACTGGACCGAAACCTCTCGGCCTTTCTTTTCCTTGCACGGCTCGTCGCGGCGGATTCCCGGGCTATGGAGGCAACTAAGCGACCCCTGCTGCTTCTCCTCGCACTTCTCCTGTGCTCTCACCTCTGCGCCGCGCTTCAAGGTGCCGAGAATACTAGTCAACAACGGAGCAACCACCGGCACCGCCACCGCGGTCATCACGGAGAGACCAAGGCGCGCTCCTATTCTCTGAGTCGCGATGCAGTCGCGCGTGACAACATTGGCTGGCTCGGTGATAGAGCATTTATCCCAGGTCATGAGGCCATCCGCTATAGTGCCACTGCCAAGAATCAGAGAGCTCGCTTAGCGAACGCTGCCGCAGCATCCGCCGCAGCATCCGCCGTAGCATCCGCTGATGCCGCAACCGGCGCGCGTGCAGATAATACTGGTGTTACGATGTCCAACTTTCCGCAAGTGGCGGTGAAGGGAGCGGGCCCGGGTGCGGCGGAGGGGGGCGAGGCGGAAGCGGAAGCGGATTTATCGGCGCAGGACACGGAGAGGCTGGGGCGGCTGCTGCGGTACTGGGGCGGGCGGATGATGGCGGAACCTGACGCGCTGAACGTGTACGTGGTGTGGTACGGCGACTGGTCGCACGCGCAGATGAGCATCGTGCGACGCTTCATGGCGTCGCTCGAAGCGTACGACGGTGGTGGGTACACCAGCCGCGGTAGCAGCAACAGTGGCAGCAGCGACAGCGGGAGCGGGGAAGGGAGCAGCAGCAGTGGCAGCGACAGTAGCAGCAGCAGCATGGGGGCAGTGGAATCGCCCACTGGTAGCGGCAACAGCGGGAATGGCGGAAACAGCGGAGATGGCGGAAATGGCGGAAACAGCACGAGCAGTGGTAACGGCAGAGCCAGTGAGAGACAGGAGGTTGACATCGGCCAGGGAAGCAGCAGCACTCGGAGCAATGCTAGTAGTGGTCACAGAGACAGCGGCGTTGGCGGCAATAGACACAGGGGTAGGGGGGGTGCAGCAAATAATGCTGCAGATACCAAGTCTCTCGAGCCCACTGTTGCGGGATGGTGGGACATTACCGTGCGATACTATTCTGACGTTGCCGGGCGACGCGCCGCGTCGAGGCTGCGACTGGCGGGCGAAATCGTGGACAGCTACTCGCTGTCACCGCTCGGGTCGATTCTGAGCCCCTTGTCGCACGAGGATGTGCGACAGATCCTGCGACGGGCGCTGGATGCGAGTCACAAAGAGCATCTCCCGCTAGACCCCAGCGCGGCGTATGTGATTCTAACGAGCGGGGACGTTCACGTGACGGACTTCTGCAAGGGTTTCTGCGCGTATCACACGAGCGCGACTATTGTAGACGGTGGACCCAAGCTCGCGTACGCGTTTGTAGGCGATTCGACAAAACAGTGCCCATTCAACTGTACGTACAGGTACTACGACGAGGGATTTGTTGGAAGCAACGGGGACCTGGCTGCGGATTCGGTAGTGGATAAACTCGCGCATGAGCTGACAGAGCTTGTAACGAATCCGTTTCAAGGGGGGGATTCCACGGCTGGGTGGGTGGTGGGGGGAGAGGGCACAGGTGAGGCCAAATTCCAGCAGATAGAAAATGCGGATCTATGCGAGTGGAGATACTCTGCGGTGCAGAGGGACGGAAATGGGCGGCAGTGGAATCTGGTGGGCGTGAATGGGACAAAGTACCTGATTCAGGACAATTTCAATGTGGAGCAGAGACAGTGTGTGCTACAAGGGGGGGTCCGCTGAGAGTGGACAAAGGTTGAGGGAAATGGTGAGGCTGTGCTAGGCCGGCCGGCTGCCATGGCACGGTGGTTGGTTGGGTGGTTGCTGTAGTGTAGATACATTGTGCGTGTGTGTGTGCGTGCACGCACTTGATGCTGGAATAGCAACTTTCCGGCCTCCACTCTAGTGTTGGGTGGGTGGGTGTGTGGGGTTGTGTGTTGTGTGAGGGCGGGAGCCTAGGAGGGAGAGGGGAGTGGTGGGGCATGAATGGGGCGAGTGGAATGGATGCATATAGTATATACCTCTAGAGTGTGATTGCTGTCGGCAGGCAAGGGAGGAAGAGAGGAGGACTCGGGGGTCGGTAAAGGGGCGTGCGCTTGAAAGTTTCATCTGAAATGAGTGGGTGTGGGTATCAGAACTCAGTCACTAACCACTGAGTTGAGGGGTTTGTTAAGTAGCGGGTAAGTGCGCCCATAACCCCCCAGGCTCTGCACCTGTAACCCTTCCCCGAGGACCAAGGGCAACCCCAGCGTGTATCTTGGCAGTGGGCTGTGCCCCTTCCCAGCGATAATCCATCCTGCAGCAGTCCCAATCGCAACCCCACACAGGAACCTCTCTGAAGGTACCACTGCGCAGACTGTCAAGTGCTCTTCACCATGGGGGTGTCCTGTCAACTTATACATATTATCTATGTAGAAGTTATAGGCTAGACTGAGGTATGCTTCTAGTGAGTACAACCAACTAGTATTTGTTCTAGGTTTCCACCTCTAGTAATCATTCGTTTCTACGTTAACATGGTATCACGCTTAGGTTAGGATCCCCCCGCCTACCGCTTCCGCCCGTCGCGCCTCCTAGGCCCCGTCGCGCCCCCTAGGCCCCGTCGCGCCCCCCCTGGGCCCCGTCGCGCTCGTTAGGCCCCGTCGCGCCCCCCCTGGGCCCCGTCGTGCCCGCTGGGCCCCGTCGCACCTCCTAGGCCCCGTCGCGCTCCCCCTAGGCCCCGTCGCGCCCGCTGGGTCCAGTCGCGACCCCTAGGCCCTAACGCGCCCCCGCTGGGCCCCGTTGCGCCTCCTAGGCCCCGTCGCGCCCCCATGGGCCCCGTCGAGCCCGCTGAGCCCCGTCGTGCCTCCTAGGCATCGTCGCGCCTCCTAAGCCCCGTCGCGTCCCCCCCCTCTGGGCCCCGTCGCGCCCGTTCGGCCCCGTCGCGCCCCTCCTAGGCCCCGTCGCGCCCGCTGGGCCCCTTCGCGCTTCCTAGGCCCCGTCGCGCCTTCTAGGCCCCGTCGCGCCCCCCCTGGGCCCCGTCGCGCCCGTTAGGCCCCGTCGCGGCCCCCTTGGGCCCCGTCGTGCCCGCTGGTCCCCGTCGCGCCTCCTCGGCCCCGTCGCGCCCCCCCTGATTAGAATGGGGATATACACGGCAATATAGACTAGTGAGCTGTACCCACTAAGGCACAAACATATATAGTCTACAGTAACTGCATAAGTTCTGTTTGACACACCCCCTAGACTATATAGGGGCAGTGCCTAATAAGGGAAGAAGCAGCTCAGGGCGGCACTACTAGTCCAGCCTCTGAGACAAGGGTCTAAAGACCAGTCACAAGGAGTACAGACAAGGCAAGAGCAAGACCAGGACGGCACTACTAGTCCAGCCACTGGGAGAGGCCACAAGGCCAGTCAGGGTAACATATATATATATTAAGGAGAGTACAAAGTCAAGGCCCTAGCAAGTGAGAGGCTACAGGAACAAGACATAGCTGTACACAGTGCCGTTGATGATCCAAGCGCCTTCGTAAAGATATCAGCAGTGTTGGCACCGGAGGCCAAGTGTACTACGCGCACTTGACGGCGCTGCTGAAGCTGATGCAGGAGCTAGATGTGCTTCGCTCTACCCTCAAGTTGAGGCTCTTGACACAGGAGGATCATGGCCTTGTTGTCAGCGAACAGGACCGGTGCAGAGCTAGGCCGCTCACCTAAGTCAGTGAGCAGGAAGGTCAGCCAACGGAGCTCATGTGCCGCCATGGCACCGGCGTAGATCTCGGCCTCACAGCTGGACTGGGCAACAGACGAGGAGCGGGTAGCTCTCCACAAGATGACACCTAAACCAAGGCTGAAGTAGTAGCCCTGTGAGGACCTGAGGGTCTCGGCATCGTCTGCCCAAGAAGCGTCTGTGCGTCCAGTAAGGACCACTGGCCTACGTCCTCCTAGCACTAACCCCATGCCCGATGTACTTGCAAGATAACGCAAAACGCTCTTAGCGGCAGACCAGTGCTGAGGTTGGTGTCTGCCTGTAGCCACAAAGCGAGCCAGGATGCTGAGAGGGTATGCGAGATCTGGGCGAGTGCAAGTTATCAGGTACATGAGGCAACCCACCAGCTCTGCGTAAGGACCACTGGGCTCTGCCAACTCTTCAGGAACTCAAGCGGAGAGCCCGTGGTCTAGAGGCAGAGAAGTGGGCTGTGCGGAGGAGAACTGAAGGCTCAACCTCTGAAGGACCTGGCGCACCAAGTGTGACTGAGTCAAAGTGATGGCGCGCGCTGCTCTGTCTCTAGAGATCGACAAGCTAAGGTGGTGGCGCAGTTGTCCAAGGTCAGAGCAGGTGAGTCTCTTCAGCAGCTCTGCCTTCACGGAGGCCAGTGCGTCCCTGTCTGCTGTGGCGAAGACTAGGTCGTCTACGTAAACAAGGATGTAGAACGGGGTCTGGCCAGCGAGGGGTCTGCAGAGGACGGAAAGAACTGCAGGTCAGCAAGCGTAGCACGCAGCGTGTCGTGCCACTCACGGGGAGCCTACCGCAGGCCGTAGACGGGGCGCCGCAGGAGCCACTGGGTCCCAGGAGGGAAGGTACCAGTGAAGCCCTAAGGGCAGCGCAGGTAGACGTGCTCGTATAGACTGCCCTGAAGAAACGCAGTGGAGAAATCGAGGGAGTGTAACTCGTAGTCACGCTGAGCTGCTACGTGTAGCAGCACACGGTGGATCTCCAAGATGCCATCTCCTGCTCCATGGCAGCTATCCACTGAGAGGCCCAGCGTCCCGAGACCGCCTCAGCGTAAGTGCGAGGGGTTGGGATGTCGAAAGCGTCGGGGTCACCCTCAGGGGCTAGAAGCATAGAGCAGAGGTGGGGAGCAGCCTCGGACAGGAAAGCAAGCTCCTACTGGCGGTCCTCCAGGATGTCACTGCCGAGGGCAGGAGCACCCTCGACAGACGGAGGACAGGCAAGGTCAGAGGCCAGAGCGGTGGCGTAGTCAAGGCGGCGGGTAGAGGCGAAGTCAGTGACCGCAGCAACAAGGGCGTCAAGACTCAAAACCGGAACAGACGGGTCGGTAACGAGAGAGGCAAGGACCCGAGGAACAAGAGGACGAGCGGCGCGCAGGTAGTTAGACAGAGGGGGGGGAGCAACGACAAGGGAGGACGGAGGGGGCGACGAGAGAAGGGGAGGACGAGACGAGTGGGAACGAAGCAACATAGGGTGAGAGCGCGAGACAGGGGAGACAGGTCGAGCACGGGAGGGACGGCGAGACCAGACGTGAGACGGAGGAGTCGGGTTAGGAGATAGAGGAGGGGACACAAGAGGGGAACGAGGGGGGAAACGGGCCGGAGACGAGCCCGGAGGAGGGAACACATGGCCGTAGACAAGAGGAAGAGGAGGCACAGGTACGGGGTCAGGGATGGAAGGCCGAGTAGGCGAAGAGCGGACACCGGCGGGGACTGCTGCGGCGGCGGTGTGACACCGACACCGGGACCGCAAGCTGCCTGGCGGCTACCTCCAGAACACTCCACGCCAGCACTCCCAGAAGAAACACCCCCAGAGCTCAGAACCCCTCGAGCGCCGGTACCACCCCCAGGCCCGCCAGGACAAGCCACAGTAGGAGTCCCAGGACTAGTACCCACCCCAACTCCAGCACCCCCAGAGGCAACGAACTGCTGCGGCAACGGTTGCGGCGGCGGCGGCGGCGGCGGTGACGACGGCTGCGACAGCTGTGGCGACGGCGGCTGCGGAGGCGGCGGAGGAGGAGACACCTGAGAAGGGGCAGGCGGTGAGGACTGCGCTGCAGGACCACTAGAGTCAGCAGACTCCTCAACCGGGACAACCCACGGAAGTGGGGTGACGTGGGACACACCAGAGGGGACAGGACGGGGAGGGGGAGGAGGAGGGGCGGCGACGACTGGTGAAGGGGTGACCAGGAACAGGGGGGGGGTAACAGGGGGACCGCGGTGTGGGAAGCGACAGAAGAAGGAGACGGACTCGTCAAAGGTGACATCGCGGGAGTGAAAGAACCGGTGAGACGGCGGGTGGTAGAAGTGCAAGTCAGACGCGTCAAGGGGGAAGCCGAGGAAGACACAGGGACGGGTGCGGGCAGTGAGAGCATGAGCAAGGCAACCCCAGACGTGAAACAAAGACGCGTCACCAGGGGACCCAGACCAAAGAAGGGTCGGCGAAACCTGAGGCTGCTGGGGGTGCGGCCACAGGTTAAGCTGGTGAGTGGCGTAGCGAACGGCGAACGGCCACAGAAAATGGGGTGCACTGGCATGGATCATGGAGGTGCGAGCCACCTCTATGACCAAACCGATGCGTCGCTCAGCGACCCCAATCTACAGCGGGGAGTACGGCAAGGTGAACGTCTGGGTGATGCCCTTCGGCACGACAGAAACGACCAAGGACACCAGAGGCAAACTCGCCACCACGGTCGGAGTGGAGGCGCAAAACAGGGAGACCGCGGCGGACACGCGCAGCGACAACCCACGGAATAAGAACGTCAGGCACGTTGGCCTTCCCCTCCAGGGGGAACACAGTGGTGTAGCGTGTGTAGTCGTCGACATGCACTAGGAAGTAGCGCTCTCGACACGGCCCCCAGACGTCCATGTGCAGAGTCTGTAGTAGTGCTGCGGTAGGGGGAAACGAGGAGGAGTGAGGGGCACGGCGGAGCCGGCCCTCGACACAGGGCGTGCAAGGTGGGGCTGGGGAGGATGGAAACTCGGGGAACGACCTGAGGAGGCTTAGGACGAGACCGTGCTATGACATGTGACGCAGATCGACATGTGCAGGGTGACCTAGGCGGTGGTGCCAGAGAAGGGTCGGGTGGGTGAGAGACCGACAGGAGGAGCAACCGGAGGAGACGCAGCAACCTGAGGGGGGGTCTCAGCCGGGGGGGTCATCGTGTCCAGTGTGAACACCGGGTCCTGTGGGAACATGGACAGGGGGGCACTACTGGCGGCCTCGGTACAGATAGCGTTTCGCTCGTGTCCAGGGAACGTAGTGGTGACGCCAAGGTCCTGAAGGCAGCCGACACCAACTTGGTTCCTGGAGAACGAGAGGATGTGCAGACCTGTGAGCGAGCCCGAGGGAACCGCCGGGCAAGGGAGGGTGGTGGAACTGCGGGCGACTACAGGGCCAGAGGAGGGGTCAGCAAGCGAGACTGCGGCAGGGACAGGAAGAGGCGTCAACGTGATGGAGTCGCGGAAGAAGCACCGGGAAGCGCCAGAGTCGAGGGTGAAGGAGAGCGCGGCAGTGGCGGCCGTAGGCGAAGCAGCGACAGAAGCACCAAGGCTAAACAAAGAAGGGGATCCTACGCCTGACGCAGCAGGGGAGTCGAAGCAAGGCACACCTACACTAGGCAACAAGGGGTAATAAGACGGAAGCACACTAGAGTCATCAGCATACATCATATGCAGACCAGTAACAATCTCATCCATGTCCAGATAAAAAATCTGTACCCTACGACGAAGCAAGCTGTGCCAGTCTGGGAGCTCGGGCGACGGGCCGAAGCGCTGACGAAACAGGTCGTCGAGGCGACGGAAACAGCGGACGGAGGTGTGACTGATCTTACCGCAAATGAAGCCACGGCGAGGACCGGTCTGGAGCAGGTACTGACAGCGCGCGTCACCCGAACCACCACCCGGCAGCCCACCACGCGCACCACCACCACGTCCAGCGCTACCACCAGCGCCAGGCCACCCGGGCGGTAGACCTATCGCCCGTCTCTTCTGCTGCTGCGACTGCTGCGGGTGCTGCGACTGCTGCGGCTGCTGCGGCTGCTGCAGTTGACGCGGGTCCGGCTGCAACACCGGCGGCTGGGGAGACGGCTGCTCGGCTGCACCTGTCAGGGTCCCCTCGTTCGCACCACCGCCGAAAGACACAGCTCCAGCACCACCGACACCTGCACCCCCACCCCCGCCGCCACGCCTAGCCTTGGGGCGGCGACCCTTCCCCGGACGGACCTGTGCTGCAGCGGCACTCTCAGCCACAGCAGCAGAACCATCGGAGAAGGTGCACTGAGCGGGGGCGCAACCCTGAAAGATAGGGACCGGCACAGTACCGCTGGTCTGAGCGATAGAGCGGTGGCGGGCCTCTATAGCGGACAGGGTGTCAACAAAGTCAGTGAGGGTGCGGTCTGCAGGGTGGACACTAAGGAAGTGGTCATGGGCAGTGGCAAGACGGTCAGGGAGGCGGGTGGCTAGCAGGTAGAGAGTAGAGGTGAGGGGCGGCTGGTGGGCTAGAAGCTGTGTGTCAGTGCAGGCAGCACGCCAAGTCTCATCTATAGTGCGCAGGTGAGCGGCCAGGTCGGCGATAGTGGGGAACGACGCAAGGTCAAGGAAGAGCATGGGGAGGATCAAGCGACCTACCGAGGCAGCAGGCGGGGTGGAATAGCGCTGAACAACAGCATCTAGGAAAGCCTGGGCAGTGGTGATAGACCTGAAGCGAGGTTGCTCGGACAGGGGGAGGGCATTGCTAATAGCAAGCTGTGCGACAGCGTCACGGGACAGCCAGACAGAGCGAGCAAGGGCAGCGGCCGCAGCGGACTCACGCTCAGCGGACGAGGGGTCAGGAGTCAGTGCAACGGGAAGGTTCAGGGTAGGGGAGGGTACCGTCAAGATGGACAGACAGTGAGTGACCATCCTGCCGCTGACCAGTGAGGTGGCGACGGAGGTCAGCAAGCCACGCATCAAACTCAATCGGCTGGCCCTCAGCGTCAAAGCGAAGCACCTCCAGTGACAATAGAGGGCAGCGTAGAGCAGTACAGTGCGATGCAGTACGAGGCAGTGCGGTGCAGTGCGGTGCTGTGCGTTATCGTGTGGTACAGTGCGGTGCAAAGCAGTGCAGTACGGTACCGGGGGGTTCGCGGGGCCGACTAGGAGTTGGCGCGACGGCGAATAGAGGCGGCCGCGATGGCGAGTGGACACGGCCGCAACGGCGGCCAGGGACAGCCGCGACGGCGGCTAGGGGCGGCCGCGATGGCAGGAGTGACCGGAGGGCGGCTGGAGACGGCAGCGAAGGCGGCTAGGGGTGGCCGCGACGGCGAGGGGCGGCCGTGGGACGGCGGCTAGAGGCAGCCGCGACGGCTCGGGGCGGCCGCGACGACAGCTGGGGGCGACCGCGAGGGCGAGTGGGTCGGCTAGGGGCGGGCGCGAACGGCCAGGGGGCCAGCTAGGGGCAGGCGCGAACGGCTAGGGGGCCGGCTAGGGGCGGGTGCGAACGGCCAAGGGCGGGCGCAAACGGCCAGGGGGCCGGCTAGGAGCGGGCGCGACCGGCCAGGGGGCCGGCTAGGAGCGGGCGCGAAACACCCAGGGCGCTGGCTAGGAGGGGCTCGACGGCAGGGGGGCCAGCTAGGGGCGGGCGCGAACGGCCAGGGGGCCAGCTAGGGGCGGGCGCGAACGGCCAGGGGGCCAGCTAGGGGCAGGCGCGACGGCCAGGGGGCCGGCTAGGGGCGGATGCGACGGCCAGGGGGCCGTGTTCAAATTATATTTTTATATAATTGTAGGCTTGGTAGTTATGCTACTAACTGCATCCTACTGTAGGGGGGACAACCCCCTTCTTGTACTTCATTCTCTTCTAGTCTATCTCTCTTCTCTCTCGACACTCTCGTCCAGCTCCTAGCTAAACCCTTGGCCGCCATTTCATGGTGGCCTCCTCTGTTCTTCCTAGTTCAGACTTTAACATGGTATCGAGAGCGGGATGCCCTTCCTGGGCCTGCTCCCCTCCGTGCTTAACGCTGCGTTCTCGTGCGTTCGTCGCTCCTGCCGTGCCGCTGTGGCGGCCATGTCGCATGGCTGCCACGTCGAGCAGCCGTGCTGGGCTTGCCGCCCTGACGTGGCGGCTCCGCCGTTCCACCTCCCCGTCGCGCCCCTCCTAGGCCCTGCCGTGCCTCCTATCCACGTCGCGCCCCTCCTGGGCCCTGCCGTGCCTCCTAGCCCAGTCGCGCCCCTCCTGGGCCCCGTCCCGCCTGCTCCTCCCTCCAGTAAGCGCCGCGCCTATGGCGCCGCGCTGAAGTGCTGCAGCCCCACCACAGCAGCCCCACCACCTCTCCCTCCCCTGCATCTCCTCCTGCTCCTGCCGTAGCTGCTGTCTTCGGCTCGGTCGTCGCCAGCCCGTGCCACACCGTCGAGAGCCCTCAGCCGCCGCAGTCGCCGCCTGTCCTCATCGACACAGCCGCCTTGAGCACGAGCTCCGCCGCTGTCGTCATTGAGGCCGCCCAGATGCGGCCAGCTGCCTCTCGACCGGGGGTGTCATAGCCTAGCACGAGGGGTCGATACCCGGCTGCTCACGAGAATGAGGGTGTCCGGGGTTAGGGGGTGTGTGTGTGGGTTGTGTGGGTTTGCCACTACCAAGCCTAGGGGGTGTGTTCAAATTATATTTTTATATAATTGTAGGCTTGGTAGTTATGCTACTAACTGCATCCTACTGTAGGGGGGACAACCCCCTTCTTGTACTTCATTCTCTTCTAGTCTATCTCTCTTCTCTCTCGACACTCTCGTCCAGCTCCTAGCTAAACCCTTGGCCGCCATTTCATGGCGGCCTCCTCTGTTCTTCCTAGTTCAGACTTTAACAGGCCGGCTAGGGGCGGACGCGACGGCCAGGGGGCCAGCTAGTGGCGGGCGCGACGGCCAGGGGGCCGGCTAGGAGCGGGTCACGGCGGCGGCTAGGGCCTAGGGGCGGAAGCGTGGGCGAGCTAGGGGGGGACCTAACCTATTATGATACCATATCAGAATGAATAATGATTAGAATGGGGAGATACAAGACAATATAGACTAGTGAGCTGTACCCACTAAGGCACAAACATATATAGTCTACAGTAACTGCATAAGTTATGTTTGACAGTCCCATCCCATCCCATGCGAACTGCCTCTTTTTAGGATGCCACTTGTCTCTCACCAATATAGTGGTGTCATGGAACAGTACAGTATTTATGGTATTCGCAAGTATGACAAAGAAGCACAAACTGAATACTGTTTGAGCTCATCTACACAATACCAATGATTTGATAGTGCACAAGAGCCTGCTAAAAAACAGCACTATCATAACACATTCCCCACACAACAGAAATCAGGCAACTAGTATCACGAAAACCCCATCCCTACCAACCCCCCCTCCCCCCCCCTTTTCCCCAAACAACACACCTCCCCACCCCCCCTGCAAAAACACGAGTGCAAGTTAGAGGAAGTAGTCCGGCGTCTTGCGAGCGACATCGGGCTCGCCCTGGCGGGGCGCGGGTTCGAACTGCAGGAAGGAGCGGTCCATGGCCTCGTCCACCTCCATGATGGCCGCCATGTTGCCGCACCGGTAGCAGTAGTTGGGCGCGCTGAATATCGTCACCACGTTCTTGTCCTGGGGGGAAAGCGGTGGAAGAGGGGAGAGGGGGGTGAGGGGAAGAGGAGGGAATGGTTGAGAGGAGGATCGGGTGTCATGGGATGGAAGTTGAGCGACAGCGAGGGGATTGGGGAGAGAGGAGGTGTGGAGGCCGAGGTGTCGGGATGTCCCACTGGGAGAGGGCTCAGAGGAGTGGCTGGCAGCAGTGGAAGAAGAGTGGACGCGCAAGGGAAGAAGACTGGAAGGGGTGTCGGGCACGCGGAGGCTTGTGTGCGTACGCATGAAATGGGATGGAGGGGTTGAGGCGTGGGATGGAGGCAAAGGCATCCAAAAGAGGAAAAGGGAAGCTTAGGCATGATCTCCTAGCAACTGGTCTGAACCAAGTGGATGCCCGAAATCCATCATCCAACCCTAACCCCCCCCCCCCCCCCCCACACACACACACACGCACGCCCCCCCGCCCGCCCACCCACCCACCCACCCAACCACCCCCCACCGCTCACCCTCGCATCGCTCTCCCCCCTCTCCCCTCTTTTCGGTGCGCACCTGCGCCCAGTTGTAGCCCTCCATGACGAGCTGGTGCGCGCGCGCCACGAGGTTGAGCCCGTTGTTCTGGTTGAACTGCTCGCTGATGTCCTGCCCGAACGTGTACCCCGCGCCGCGCGGCGAGATGCCCCACCCGCACCGGTCGTCCGGGTCCGACCACAGCAGGTCGCACATGGGGCCCTCGTGCGGCACCTGGTGGGGGATTGACAGCAGGGGTGAGGGGGAATTGTGGGGGGAGGGGAAAAATTGGGGGGGGAGGGGGGGGAGTGAGAGGTCATCAGGGTTCGACCACAGCAGGACACTCATGGGGCCCTTGTGGGGCACCCGGAGGGGGGGGGAAGGGAGAGAAGGGGGGGAGAGAAGAACAGGAAGGGGAAAGGAACGAGATGGAGAGAAGGGGAGTGTGAGTGAGAGTAGGTGAGAGAGAGAGCGAGAGAATACCTACTACGACACAGGGGACACACCTGTTGCTGGTCACCCGCCACATCTCCGAACTGGCAGGCAACCGCTTCCCAGACTCCACTACTCGTCTCGCTCCTCCCCACCGCTCCTTCACCCCCCCTTTTCCTTTGTCTCGCAACCAGCTAGCATACCCCCCTCCAACCCCAATCGCCAACATCTCCCCGTATCCTATGGTGGGCGCACCTCTTGGCAGCGGTCCAGCGCTCGAATGTGGTCCAGCGTGTCCAGCGAGGGCGACAGCCCGCCGTGCAGACAGAAGATCTGATGGGGGGGTGAGGGGGGGGGAGGAAGATGGAGAGTGCAGGAGAGATGGAGAGTGCAGGAGAGATGGAGAGTGCAGGAGAGAGGACATCAGGAGAGAATGGGGAGAGGAGAGGCAAGGCGAGGGAGCACGGGAAGGGAGACAGGCCAATGGGTTCGTGTATTCCCCTTGTGCAGCGCAGCGCCTGCTACTACCGCAGGATGGCGCGGCAAGCGGAGCAGCGCAAGGCAGGCCCGCACATCGCCCTCAACGAGCGCGGTGAGCGACACGTAGTCGGTGAGGCCCGTAAAGCCCATCCACACGTTGGCAATGCTTAACGCCCCTCCGACTCAAAATCTCCACCTCCACCCCCTCCCCCCCTACCCACCCTCCGTACCCCTTGCGCAGCAGCACCGGCTGACCTCGCTCTCCACGAGCGCGGTGAGCGGCAGGCAGTCCAAGAGGTCCGTAAAGCCCATCTACACGTCGGCAATGTTTACCGCGACTCAAAATCCACCCCTCCCCCCCTCACCCTCCCTCCCCCCTGCACCATAGCAGTGACTGGCTGACCTCGCTTTCGACGAGCGCGGTGAGCGGCAGGTAGTCGAAGAGGTCCGTGAACGCCTTCCACACGTTGGCGTTGCCGTACTTGCGCAGACACTCGTCGTAGAACCCGTATCTGGGGGGGGGGAGGGAAGAAGGGGGGGGGGGGAGGCGCAAGGGGGGCGGCTGAACCTTTGAGTCGACTCAAAAGCGTACTTGGAGAGGGGGGAAGAGGAGGAGAGGGGGGAAGAGGGGATTGGCAACACAGCAGGCGAGGTCGCAGTAGGTTGTGAAGGGCAGAGAAACAAAAGACCGACATGCACGCAGCAAGCACGTGTACGGCACACGCACAGCACACGCACGGCACACGCGGCGCACGCACGCACGGCACGTACACTTGAGTGATCTGCCGGCTCTCGTGGTTGCCGCGCAAGATGGTGATGCGGTCGCGGTACCGCACCTTCAGCGCCACTAGCAGCGTCACCGTCTCCACCGAATAGTACCCGCGGTCTGCGGGGGGGGTGAAGGGGGGAGCAGGTGGAGGGCGCACGCGGGGAGAGGGCAGGGAGGAGCGAGAAAATATGAAGAGCAAGGCAGGGGCGAGAAAAAAAAAAGGCCCGCAAGCAACCGCACTCGTCTCCCGCGTCGTCGTAACTCAACGTCCCCTACGCTCCGCGCTGTCCAGTATTAACAAGTCGCCACGACAAACAAGGTGACTTTTGAGTCGAGTCAAAAGTCGTCTCCCGCGCCGTCGTTACTCAGCGTCCCCTACACTCCGCACTGTCCGTTATTAACAGGTCGCCACGACAAACGCCTCCCAGCCCTTATTTCCTTGTGCGACCAACCGACCGGAGCAATGCCAATTCCAAACCCTAAAATCCACCAGAAGTGTTAAACAAAAAAAAAAAAAAAACCAAATTGCTACTCGGACCTAGCGGAAAAACCAACGCTAGTCGGTTTCTAACTCTCGCACACACAGACTACCATCTTCGAGACGTTTAAAAAAAAGAAAGAAAATATATGCAAGCCTCGGGAACCACCGGCACGTACCGACATAGTCGCCCATGAAGAGGTAGTTAGTATCCGGCGCGCGGCCGCCGATACGGAACAGCTCGATAAGGTCATAGAACTGGCCGTGGATGTCGCCGCACACGGTGACGGGGCAGCGCACGGGCTGCACGTTGGACTCCTCTAGAAACACCTCGCGCGCCTTCTCGCAGAGCTGCTTCACCTCCACCTCGGACAGCGGCTTGCACTCGCACAGTTGCTCGATCTGCCGGTCTAGATCCGCGTAATACGCCGCCATTTGCGCGGACGGCGCGCCGGCGAGTGAGCGCGGCGGTAAGGGAGCGGGGAGGGGGAGGAGGGGCGCGCGCCGGGGTGGTTGAGGTTGGGTGCGGTAGGAGGAGGTTGTTGGCGGTTAGGGCGGACGCGAGAGTGAGCTTTTAGGAGAAGAGCAGCAGCGGCGCGACTGCGAGGTGCGATGTCTTTAGGGTCGACTCGACGGACAACGGTAAACGGTTGGTGGAGGAACGGAGAGAGCGAGAGAGATCAGGAAAAGAGGTGGGTTGACTGCCACGCCTTAAAAGTAAACACGAGAGGGAGGAAAGCGGGGATATGGTTCAAGGCAAACAGGCTGACCTAAGCGCCAAAACAATAGATTCTAGAACCGTCGACTGCTGCGGCAGTGCCTGGACCGAATGTACTACAGAACAAATGAGGTACTTAGGGGAGGGACGGACCACCGAACCGAACCTATTGGTGGTACTTGACCGACCGAAACGGAACGGAACAAAGTCACACACGGGTCTGCTCTGCTGCTCCTCGACACTACGGACGGGGAAAATGGGCGGACTCTTAGACTCTTGGACTTTTGGGCTCAGTGTCTACCAGTGAGTGGGCGCGGTTGCTTCCGATAAGTTTGGGAAGGACGGGGTGGTTGGTTGGACGGGTGGGTGGGTGGTTTGGATTGCGAGGGAGATTGGTTTGGAAGGGAGCGGAGGGGAGGGGGATAGCAGGTGAGGGGAGAAGAGGCGAGGGGGCGTGGGGGGGAGGAAAACAGGCGAGGGGAGGGAGAATTTGGTGGTGGCGGGAGGCGTGGTGCGGGTGAGGCGAGGCGGGAGAGGCGGGTGAGGTGGCGGGTGGGAAATGTGGTACAGCAGTGCTTCGGTAATATACGAATGAGATAAAATGTGGCACGGAATGCATGTATATATACGTCCTACGAGAAATGTGGATCTGAAATTTATGCGAGGTGATCCGACCCCAACTTCGGCCCCATAGTATTACACTACAAGTGCCTGACAACGGCCAGTTAGTGACTCCACTTCCCGCTGCTAGTGATTTCTCCTACCACTGTCAGCACAGACATCCCATCCCATACAATAGTGACAAAACCTAGCAAGGTGATATGCCAATACCAACTTGCAATTATTACACCCAGAAGAAGCCAGAATAAATACCACCCACCGATCACCTCACATTCCACAGCCTGAAACCACCACCCCCATCCACAAGTCAACAATCAACAGCTACCCACCCACCGTAGTCCCAAATACTAAGCGAGACAGGCATAAAGGCAGACAGACAGCACAGGAGACTGTCAGTCAGGTCCGATCAGTCAGTCAAGCCTTTGTTGTAGCCATCCCCCCCTCCCCCATCCCCCTTTTCCGCCCAACCCCCTCAGTATGTGAGCCAGCCCTTGTTCTGCGCGGTGACCATGGCCCAGTTGGGCACGCCGCGCGAGTTGGCGTCCACCTTGAAGGACCAGAAGAACCACCCGCCCGTGGCGTTGTTGTACACCTCCAGCTGCGCCTGGCTGAACACCCCGTAGTCCCCCTCACTCGCCCCCACAAAGTCCGGCAGGGCCAGGGACCACTCACCTGGGGGAGGGGACGGGAGGGAGGGGAGGGGGGGAAATGGGGGGAGGGGGGGATGGGGAGGATGTGGGAGGATGGGGGAGGAGGGCGAGGATGGGGGGGAGAATGGGTTGTGTGCGGTATTGGGGAGGAAGTGAGGCTGAGATGGAAGAGGATGGTGCTGATGAGAGCGGGTGAGCGGTGGGAGGGGGGGCCAGGAGAGGGTGAGATGGCAGGGGATAGGCAGTGGGAGATAGAGATTAGGACTAGGGGAGGGTGAGAGACGTGCCAAGGGAAAGAGAGCGAGAGTGAAAGAGTGAGCAAGAGAGAGGGATAGAAGCAGGGAGAGAGAGAGTGGGGGGCCGGGTGGGTGTAGGGAGCACGGGGCACGTACCGACAAGGACAGTGCGGTCGCCTTCGGAGAGCGCCTTGAGCTCGTTGGCGCGCTGGTTGTGCACATAGTCGACATGCGCCTGGAAGCTGGGGTTGGTGTTGATGTCCGGGTCAAACACGTTGTAGTAGTGCACGTCTATCATCACGTTGTTGAACTGCGTCACGGCAAGGGGGGGGTGGTGGTGGGGGGGAAGGGGGAGGATGGAGGGTAGAGGAGGTGCGGACGGGGGCGAGGAGGGAGAAGAAGAGGGGGAGAGAGGAGAGGGGGAAGAGGAGGAGGGGGGGGGAAACGAGGGGGGGAAGAGGGGGAAGAGGGGGAAGAGGGGCAGGGAGAGGATGGGGTTTGGGAACACTCGCAGTCAGGGAGTGACTGCGTATAAGGTTGGGGGATGGGGGGAAAGGAAGAGAAAGATACTATGCTACATGTATCATGTCATGCTGTGTATTGTGAAAGTAATACAACACCAATCCATGCCTACTACTTCTCCTTCCACCTCTCTGCTCCACCCCCATCATCCCTCTCTTGCTCTCCCCCCTTCCCCCTCTTCCACACACCCACCACTCACTTACCCCTCTCACTCCCACACCCACCTTCCAATCATCCCCCCCCCATTCCCTGCCCCAACACCCTGCCCCCCCTCCCTCCTCTCACTGACCTGCAGAACATTGGTGATGAAGTTAGCCACGTCGGCAGCGGGGGGCTGCCCGCTATTGAGTCGACTAAAAAATCCCCCTCCCTCCCCTCCAAACCCAACACCCCGCCCCCCCTCCCTCCCCTTCACTCACCTCCAGCGCATTGGTCATGAAGCCAGCCATGCCTGTGGCTGGCGGTTGCCCCGGCAGGGGCGAGACGCCGACAAAGGCGTACGGTGACTTGCACACCAGGTGGTAAGCGTCCAGCATGTACTGCTTCGGCCGCCTGCTCGGGCCATCCCCATCATCCCTCCCTCGCTCCCCACCCTTATCCTTCTCCCAAAAACACACCACTTAGCCCCCTGTCCCATCCCACCTCCCAATACCGGCCCCACACCCCCCCCCTCTCCCCCGCCCCCCCCCCTCCTCTCACTCACCTCCAGCGCATTGGTCATGAAGCCAGTCATGTCGGTGGCCGGGGGCTGCCCCAGCAGCGGCGAGATGCCAACAAACGCGCAGGGCGAGTACTTGCGCACGAGGTGGTACGCGTCCAGCATGTACTGCTTCAGCCGCCCGCTGGGGCTGCCGCCCGTCCCCAGCGGTACCATGTCCGTGTTGGGCTCGTTCAGCAGCCCGATGCCGAACAGCGCTGGGCTCTTGGAGTACCTGGGGAGGGGAGGGGGGGGGGGGGGAGGGGACGGATGAGGTAAGTAGTGAGACGAATCAGTACTCGACTATTATGCCGTGGTATTGAGACGTCTCAAAGCCCGATGCTGAACAGCGCTGGGCTCTTGGAGTACCTGGGGGGGGGCGGATGAGGAAGGGCGGGCGGGAGAGGAGGAGAGGAGGAGAGAAGTGAGGAGAGGAGAGGGAAAGAGCATGCCAGTAGGTGGTATGTCGGATTTGCCTGTTGTGGTGGGTTGGTTACCTACTGTGACCGCCTGGCTGTAAAAACTGCATTACAAGCAGCACAAGAGGTGGCAGAGTGTTTTTTAGCCCTGACTGACCTGCTGGCGAGCCACTCGATGCAGTCGAGCGTCTTGTTGATGTTGCCGTCGTAGCGCTGCCAGTCCGCTGCTCCGTCCCGCGACGAGCTTTCACTGCCGTGGTTCTGCCCGCCGGGGGCGCTGTGCATTGACAGCCAGATGCGGATAGAGTACTTCTCTGGTGGACGGGAGAGGGACGGGAGAGGGACGGGAGGGGGAGGGTGTGGGCAACGAGGGTGTGGGAAAGGAGGGTGTGGGAAAGGAGGGTGTGGAAAAGGAGGGTGTGGGCAACGAGGGTGTGGGAAAGGAGGGTGTGGGAAAGGAGGGTGTGGGAAAGGAGGGTGTGGGAAAGGAGGGTGTGGAAAAGGGGGGTGTGGGAAAGGAGGGTGTGGAAAAGGAGGGTGTGGGAAGGGGGGTGTGGGAAAGGAGGTTGTGGGAAGGGGGGTGTGGGAAAGGAGGGTGTGAGAGAGGTTGATAATAAGGCAAGGCAAGGCAAGGCACTGGGGGATGGGGAGCCCAAGGGCGGGTAACACCGCAGGTCCCTAGGCACAGCTGTCTCCAGACAGACTGCATGAGACATTCAGACGTATTCTCCCTTGCTGCATGCCCATCCATCGTTCCATTCTTCACCCACCCTTCCATCACTCCGTTCACCCACCCTTCCATTGTTCCAACGGTCAGCAGCACTACCGAGACATCCCATCAGCACACGGCACCATCCACATATCCACATTGCACATGCCATAGAGCACACACACACTGACCCCTGCCGCCTCCCCCACCCACCTCCGCCCCCCCTCCCCAAACCCCCCCACTCCCCACCCCACCCCTCATGCGCCTCGTACCTGCCATGGAGAATGCACTATCGAGCACAGCATCAGTCCCCGGCACAAAGGGCCAGTCAGGCTCGTTGCCCTGCATGATCCAGTAGCCCACGGGGATGCGCACGGTGTTGATGCCCTGCTCGCCCAGGTACCGCCAGTCGTCCTCGCTGATGAACGACTTCCAGTGCCCCTGCAGCCGGTTCGCCGAGTCGCGCGCGTACGCTGCCGTCTGCCACTCGCCCTGCACCGACGTCACCTGTTGGGGGGGGTGGAGGGGGGGTGGGTGGGTGGGTGGGTGGGTGGAGGATTGAGGAAGGTGGTTTGTGAGACGGCAGCGATCCTGGAGCGGGTGGTTGGAGCCTTGTGTTGCTGTTGCAACAAGACATGAGCTGCTGCTTGCCACTTGGCTTGTACCATGTGAGAAAAGGTGGACGGGGGAACTAGGGGAAGCGGAGAGGATGACGGAGTGAGGGGGTGGGAGTACATGTGTATTCACTAAGCATATGTGCTGCACACGTGCCTGCTCACATGGGCACATGCTGACGTCCATGCACAAAGGCACATGTATGCGCACACACCCATGCAGACACAAATACACGATCAAACAGAGATACACATGCCCACATGCCCACATGCACACATGCACACATGCCCACATGCCCACATGCCCACATGCCCACATGCACACATGCCCACATGCCCACATGCACACATGCCCACATGCCCACATGCCCACATGCACACATGCCCACATGCCCACATGCCCACATGCACACATGCCCACATGCCCACATGCCCACATGCACACATGCCCACATGCCCACATGCCCACATGCACACATGCACACATGCCCACATGCCCACATGGCCACATGGACAGGGTACCCACTCGGTCGATGTAGAAGGCGGTGGAGCCGTCGAAGGAGCCAGAGGAGGCGGAGGCAGCGACCTCGTCCCCCTGCACGTTGAGGTACATGCCGTTGTTGGCCCTGAACTGCGCCTTGCTGCTGTCCGACGACACCTGTAGGGGGATGGACAAGTGTACGCATACAGGCATGCATGCAGACAGACACACACATAGATACACACAGGAACACACAGACACACACACACACACACACACACACACACACACACACACACACACACACACACACACACACACACACACACACACATGAAGCACGCATGCACAGAGGCACATGCACATCGGGCAGGCACAATCCACAGGGGAGAGGAGAAACACAGTGAGAGCTCTGGGGTCAAAAGGGCAGGCAGACGCTAACGCTACAAGAGGGGCAACGCAGTTGCGGTGGGATGGTGCATCGCTGCACCTTGCGCTGCTTGCATGTGCTTCTTGACACGTGCACTGGCATGCATATGCATCCCAAGTAAAACCCCCAAGGCCTCATTTTGAGTCGATTCAAAACGAAATTACTATCACACTGCTTGCATGTGCTGCTTGGCACGTCCACTGGCATGCATGTGCATCCCAAGCAAAACCCCCAAGGCCTCATTCCTTCCCTTCCCCTTCTGCCTCCCCACCCTCCACCGCCTCCTCTCCGCTCCATGCTTCCCACTCATCCACACCTCTCCTTCTCTCCATCTCCAAACCCCAATCCCAAACTTCTCTCTCTACTCACCCTCCCCCCTCCCGGTCTCTCACCCCCTCGTGTCCTCTCCCCCCCCCAAACCCCCTCCCGCACCACACAAACCTGCCACACACCCCAAGGCACTTACCTCCATGGTCCACAAGTTGCTTCTGTCGGCGCGGGACATGTCGAACTGGGTGAGGACAGCGCTGCCCCCCGTTGCCCTGCGCCTATCCTTCTCCCCTCCCCCACCCACCTCCCCTCCCCCACCCCACGCCCCACAACCCACGCCCAACACACGCACCTCCATGGTCCACACGTCGCTGCTGTCGGCACGGGGCATGTCAACTGGGTGAGGACAGCGCCGCCCCCCACTGCCCTGCGCCTATCCTTCCCCCCTCCCCCACCCACCTCTCCTTCCCCCCCCCACGCCCAACACACGCACCTCCATGGTCCACACGTCACTGCTGTCAGCGCGGGGCATGTCGAACTGGGTGATGACAGCGCCGCCCCCGCCGCCCTGCGCCTGCACGAAGAGCCCCGACTTCCACAGGCGCACCTGCACCTTGCCCCCTGCACCGTCCACCCTGCGGATCACAAAGTGGTCCCCGTCTATGCTGCCGCCGTCCCCCGTGCACCGCAGCTGAAAGGGGGGGGAGGGGGGCGGAGAGTGGGGGGAGGATGAGAGGAAAGGGGGGAGACAAGGGGGGGAGAGGGAGTTACTTCCCGTTAGCCACAGCCTTGATATTGAGCTCCCAGCCACTCAATTGCTCCTGCAGCTTTCGACAATTCTACAATAACCTCCTGCAGCAGCAGCAGGAGGAGGAGGAGGAAAATCCTCACCTCGTGGTCGCCGCAGACAGTGGTGCGGAGGTACTTCCCATCAGCCACTCAAGAATCAACAAATTTCTAGAACAGTCACCTGCAGCAGCAGCAGCAGCAGGAGAATTCTCACCTTGTGGTCGCCGGTGACGGTGGCACGGAGGTACTTCCCATTGGCCACGGACTTGAACTTGAGCTCCCAGCCGTCGACGAGGTCCGGCACGCCATCATACATGTCGGGGGTCATCCACTGCTCCAGCACCAGCCACCCTCCCATGTTCATGCCGCGGATGCGAGCCACCTGCCAGAGGGAGGGGAGGAGAGAGGAGGGGAGGGGAGGGGAGGGGAGGGGAGGGGAGGGGAGGGGAGGGGAGGGGAGGGGAGGGGAGGGGAGGGGAGGGGAGGGGAGGGGAGAGGAGGAGAGGGGACGGGAGGGGAGGGGATGATAGGAGGGGTTGAAGGGCATGCTAGGGGATTCAGGGTTTGACATCATACATGTCGGGGGTCGTCCACAGCTCCAGCACAGAAAGATTCCTTTCTGCGCCCTTCCTGCCCCCTCGCCCCTCACCTGCGTGACTTCCCGCACGTTCCACGTGTACTGCGCGCCGGGGGGCCCCCCGCCCATGGCGTCGAATGCGTTCTTGCTGCGCTGCACCTGCAGCTGCCCCACAGCGTCCGCGTTCCTCCACCCCACTACCCCGCCGTCATACGTGCGCAGGACTATCTGCTGCTGCCCCACCTGCACTCGCGGCATGTGGGGGGAGAGGGAAAGGGGGGAGGGGGGTCACTTACACAAGGTTTGGGCAGAGGGAAGGGCGACAGGGAGATAAGACACAAAGCGAGAGTAAACCAGAGGGTGGAAGGAGCAGCAAACACAGCAAGGCCAAACGTCATCACTCTGCACCTCCCCCCATCTCTCCCCCCACCCTCGCCCATCTCTCCCCCCCTCCCTCCCCCTGTCCCTCCCGCCACCCAGCCCCCCACCCTCTCCATCCACCACCACTCACCATCTCTGCGGCGAAGATCCCTTCGGCCGTCTTGCCAGTCTCCGTGGCCACGAGCGCACTGTCCTTGTTCACAGTCAGCCAGTTCCCGTTGGGCGCCTTCAGCCGGAACGATGTCTTGTTCACCCTCACCACCGTGAAAAACTCATTCACGCCCGGGGCCGTGTTCGTGTTCAGCCCCAGCGGCCCGCGCCCATACGCCCCAAACGGGCCCCCGCTATCAGATGGAGAGGCGGCGGGGGCGCCTGGCGGAGGGGGAGCAGGCTTCGGCTTGGAAGCGCCGGTAGCAGGAGTGGGGGGAGGGGACGGGGGAGGGTCGGCTGCTTGGAGGAGCCTGCGGCGGCCGCCGCCTCCGAACCAGGAGCCGGTAGGGGGAGGGGTGTAGCCATAGCCAAATCGTGGGCGGTTGTCCTTGGTGATTTCAATCGTGTTGTTGTAGAGGACCCCGTCCAGGATTGTACCCCATACAGGCAGACCCCCTATGTCCTTAGTCGTGTTGTCTGCGAGCTTGGCTGTGCTCCCGTACTTGCTGTCCGAATTCCCCCCCAGGAACGTCCCGTTAAGCACTTTTAGGTAAGAGAGTTCGCCGATGGAGCGGCGGCGGCTTAAGAGGCTGTCGATAACCGGGCCGGGTTGAAACTCCACTGTTTTGTTCCCCTCATTCCACAACTCTGCTGCATACGAGCCCCGTTCCTGACCTTTCCCCGTTACAATCACATCCACGTAGAAGGAATTCGCTATAAAGGAGCCTCTGGTAACATGCCCCATGTCATCCTCACCGTACACCACCACTGCATTCACCTTGCTAATGTCAAGAATCACATTCTCACCCATGTTAATCGCTCCTGTCATCCCAGGGATATATGGTGGCAGGTTCTTGCGAGGCGGGGGGGCGTACACCCCAGGGGGGAGGGTTGGCGCGGGGATGGCACCAGGGGGGAGAGGCGGGGAAGGGGGAGGCGGGGGAACGAAAGGGGGCGGGGGAGCCAAGGGCGGGGATGGGGGCGGGGGGGAGGCAGGAGGGGCGGGCGGCGATGGGGGAGTAATGGGGGGAGGCGGGGCTGGGGGAGGGGTGACGTAGGGCGCTGGAGGAGGGGAAGGGGGCGCGGGAGGGGGGAAGGTTGGTGGGGGGGAGAGCGGCGGCGGCACATAGGGCGGGGGCGGAGCGATGGGGGGAGGGGAGGGCGGGGGGAAGGCGGGACCAGGGGGAGGGGACTGGGTGTTGCTGGTGGCGGGCGCTTCAGGGAGGACGACTATGGGGGAGCCCGGGGGCGTGGTGTAAGGGGGAGGGGGCGTCCCTGGGATCTGCTTGACAACGCCCTTGAGCAGGCCATTGGGCGGCTGTGGGGACACCCACAGGTTGCCGTACGACTGCAGCTGGATCTGCAGGGGAGGGGGTGAGCGGGAGGCGTGGGTGGGGCAGCACGGGGGCGGGAGGACATCATGGGAGGATGGGAGGATGGGAGGATGGGAGGATGAGAGGGAGGGAGGGAGGGAGGGGAGGAGTGAGGCGCGAGTGGCGTGAGCGAGTTGAAGGCAAGTGAGCAGGTGGTGGCTGTTAGAAAGAGTTAGCACAGCAGGGAGAGGGCATAAAGCCTCTGCCACGGGGCAGAACCACAAACTCCATGCACGTCCAGTCAACAGGAACACCAAGTCAGGCAGGGCTTTCCAACCGCGCCCTTCAACCAATCTCACTTACCCCCCTGGCCCCCCACCCAACCCGCCCCTCAACCAACCGCCCCTCACACACTTCCGAATCCCCTCTCCCCTCCCTTCCTATTCCCTTCCCCCCACAAACCCCTCACCTGAGCGCCATCCGCCAGCGCATTGCTCCACCAGGTGCTATTAATCGTCTTCACGCCCGGGTTCACTGCCTGTGCGCCAAACCCCCCCGAGCTGCACACCTGCCCCAGCGGTGGCAGGTTCAAGGGCGGCATCTGGGGGCCCGCGGGCGTGGCAATGGCAGTCACGTAGACGCTCATGACGGGCTGACGGGTGACGTCGAAGAAGAGGAGGCCCGGGAGGAGCAGCACGAGGAAGATGATCAGCAGCGAGCAGCAGTTGCAGGCCGCGGGCAGGGGGACCTTGGGGGGCTCGGGGTGCCAGTCGGGGCGGCCCACTGCCATGGTGAGCGCGCGCTCCTTGAAGAAATTGAGTTGCTTCTGCAGAGGGGGGGGGAGGACCAGGGGGGGGGAGGGAGGGAGGGCGAGGTGAGGGAGGGGAGGGAGGGGGTGAGGGAACCTTTCTACAAAACCCTGACGCCCACGGCCACGGTGAGTGCGCGCTCCTTGAAGAAATTGAGTTGCTTCTGCAGAGTGGGGGGAAGGACCAGGGGGAGGGGGATGACGGGGGGGGGGGGGGGGAGGGGGGGGAGAACGAAATGGTGGGAGGAAGAAAGGGGGAAGGAAGGGGGATGTAGGGGAGAGAGGTGATGAGAAGAGGGTGGGGAGATGAGAGGGGAAGGAAAGGGCAGCAAGAGCAGGTGGAGGCGTTACGGGAGGATGTGTGAAGGAGAGGAATGCGGCTCTCTGTCCTCAAATTGAAACCTGGGGCTCTCTGCCCGTCTCCTCCTACAAACGCCATCCTCCCTCTACGTGTAAACCCCCCCCTCTCCCCCCCCTCCTTCCCGCCCCCCTTAACCCCCTTATACATTTCGAGAAATGCACAATTCGCTGGTTCACCATTTCTGTTCCCTTCCCATCGTTTCCCCCATGCGCTTCTTCTCTTTGTTTTCAGACAAGCTGCACTTCGTTTGTTCCCCATGCCGCCCCCCATGCCGCCTCCCCATGCCGCCCCCCCATGCCGTCCCCCCATGCCGTCCCCCCATGCCGTCCCCCCATGCCGCCCCCCCATGCCGCCCCCCCATGCCGCCCCCCCATGCCGTCCCCCCATTCCACCCCCCCATGCCGTCTCCCCATGCCGGGCCCCCATGCCGTCCCCCCATTCCGTCCCCCCATGCTGTCCCCCCAATGCAGTTCCCCCATCCCCCCCCCTCCCCTTCCACAAAAGCAGCAGCAACGAGCGCGCACCTGCACTTGCTCGTTCTCGAGCACAGCAACGACGGGCGCAGCGGCAGCCATGGTCATGGTGCGCGCGAGCTTGGACGTGCTCTCCACCACCTTGGTCGTCGCGTCCTCCAGCGCCCCGTCGCCCTTCTCCAGCCGCTGCCGCCGCGCCTCCTCCATCGCCGCCGCCGCCTCCTCCACTGCGGGGCGGGAGGAGTGGCGGAGGGGATGCGCGGAAGGGGTGATAGAGGGAGGGGGGAGAGGGGATGGAAGAAGGGGACGAGTTGAGGAGAGGGGGGGAGGAGTGAGGGGCAGAGGGGAGGAAGAGGGGAGAAGGGAACAATGGGAGACGACAGAAGGGAAGGAGTGAGCATCACATCAGGGCAGGTACCAGAGTGCGGGAGAGCATAGAAAAGCCTATTGTATACGTGGAAGAGATCACCAGCGGGAATCCACATCCATTGTGCAATCATTTGCCTGCAATAACTTGTTCAGAACGCTTCGTAAAACGACTGAAAGTCGGGTTGCAAGCCGGGTTATAAGCCAATCCCCTGCCACTCGTACCTAACCCCCTTCGAGTCCCCTCTCCCCCCTTCTCCTCGCCTCACGTCATCTCGCATCCCGTCTCAGCCATGCAATAACAACACTCTTCTCACACCGCTCCCCTCACTCACACCCCTCTTACCAACCTCCCCGCCCCTCCCCTCCCCTTCCTACCCTCCCCTCCCCTCCCCTCCCCTCCCTTCCCTCCCCTCCCCTCCCCTACCCTCCCCTCCCCTCCCCTCCCCTCCCCTCCCTACCCTCCCCTACCCTACCCTCCCCTCCCCTCCCCTCTCTCCCCCCTCCCTCCCCTCACCCACCTTCCTCTTCCGTTTCGAACTTGTACTGCCGCGTGATGCTGCGCGTGAGGTTCCTTGACAGGTTCTTCGACATGGTGTTGGTGCGCGTCAGGCTGCGCCCAAAGAACGTCATCGTGCGCGAAAACGTCCCCGTGCGCGAAAACGACCCCGCGCGTTTGTACGTCTCCGTGCGCCCGTAGTCCTCGTCCCCGTCGTCGTAATACTCCTCATCATCCTCCTCCCCGTACCCCTCGTCGTCATCCCGCCCCCCCCTGCGCCGCTGCGCCTGCTGGCGGCTGCCCCCCTCGCGGTACGACCCCGAGCGGTAGCTCGCCTGCGACCGCGGGGAGCCCTGGTCGCCGTAGTCGCCGTCGTCGTCGTCGCCGTCGCCGTCGCGATCGTGGCCGCGGTCAGCGTCGCGCGGCCGGTCGCGGCGGTCGTACGAGTCTTCTGTGGACGCGTCCCAGTTCGCGCGCGAGCCCCGCTCGCTGCCCGACGCTGGGGGAGAGGGGGGAGAGAGCGGGGGCGGTGGGGGAGGGAGACGGGGGGTTTGCGCAGGAGAAGGGTCGGGGACAGCGGAACGGGCGTCACGCGCGCAGGGGGATGGGAGGTGGGGGGGCTGTTGGGTGGGGGTTGGGGGGTGGGGGGTGGGGTAGGGGGAAGGAGAGTGGTGTTGGTGTTGGGCAACGAATGCATGTGCCAGAGCGACGCAGGGCGACAACGTGGACGCACGTCCTGCCGCCGTCTCTAAGGCGCCATTCGTCGGGAAAGCAAGAGTGGTTGGATGCGTTCTGGGTGGCTGAGCAACTTAGGAAGGGCGCAAACTTTGTCTCCACGGCTTCGCGCGCAACCAGCGGCGAATGTGCGTAAGGAGGCGCGCACACGTGCCAGGTCAGTCGACTTGTGAAACAGGAACCACTCTACAATATAGTGCTATCGTATGACTCTTCAGTGCAGCCGCACGTCTGTTCAGCGCTATCGCTCACTCTGTCGCATTACTCTACGGCGCTATCACGTACTAGCGCTATCACATACTAGCGCTATCACACTCGATGTAACGTAATTGTACAGTGCCTCCCTCTCCCTGCCTTAACCTCTATCGCCCTACCCCTCTTTCCCCTGATCTTCCGCCTCATTCCCCTTCCCGCAACTCTCCCCCCGCACCTGGGTTTCCCCCCATGGGGAACTCCGCGGAGTGGAAGAGCGGATCTCCGCCGTCCCTGTGGCTGCTGCGCCCATCGTCGTACCCCTCTTCCCCATTCTCCTCCTCATACGCCTCGTCCCCTTCCCCCCCATCCCCCTCCTCCTCCTCGTACCGCGCGCCGTGAGACCCGCGCCCGCGCGCCGAGGGGGGCTCGGAGTCACTGTAGCTGCTGCGCGTGTGGCGGGAGTGCCTGGGGGAAGACGAACGGGACGGCAGTTTCAGGTGTGGGGAAGGGCGCGATGGGGGGACGGGGGGGAAGGGGGGGAAGGGGGGGGAGGGAGGAATGCATGGGGAGGGCAGAACGGATGGCAAAGCGGTAAAGATGATTTTGAAGCCGCGGCTGGGGGTCGCGGGAAGAACTGAGCTTCTACGTGGTCACAGAAAGACGCGAGACTGATGGGAAGACGCGAGACCGAGTATTTGTGAAATAATCTCCCAGTGGACATCGCTAGTGAGTCCTTCTTGCGATGCACACCACGCGCAATCGTGCGCGAACGACTTTAGCAGCATCTCGAGGTGCCTTGAAACACGTACATGCGGAGCGGTCAAGCGTGTACATGCACGCAACGAACAGCATCAACAACAACGCCATCAACGCCATCAACGCCATCAACGCCATCAACACCAACGACAAAAATCACAGCAACGAACGAGCAGCGCAACTTCGGGTGCCGCACCTGTCTGATCCGTGCGCGTCCTCGTAGTCGTCGTCGCCATAGCTCTCCATGGCGCCGCGCCGCGTCCGCTACAGCTGCCGCTCCTCGCGCCGTGGGCCCGCAGCTAGCAAAGGGTCAGAAGCGAGACGCCAATGCCGATGCTACGGCGCGGAGAGGGCAATGAGAGATCGATAAGAAAAGGATAATGAGGTTCAGACAATCTCGAGCGGATGTGTCAGGGCGAACGTCAGATAACAGATCAACGACTGTTGGCTACGGTTAGGAAAGAAGCAGGCGATGGCCAGTGGCGAGGAGCGGTGCAGTTCGGTAAAACGGGAAGGCAGTCAGGATAGGTAAGCCATGGAAAAGACACCAGTGGGGATAAAGAAGGCGGATGCAGGAACGGAGAGGGTAGGCCCGGGGAAACGACCTAACAAAGAAACAGGAAAGACGTGCTGTTAACTAACGCATTTAGACAATCTTCGTCCATCTCTTTGCAGGGGCCACGTTCGGCGCCAGCTATAAGCGAAGGCAGATCTAAATCGCACGCAAAATGCACGCATTTCGCAGAAGATCAAGCCAACGTAGCGGCACTGCTTACCAGTCCCCACGCGACAGCAGACCCTTTTCCCGCACCGTTATGGCTAAGGAAGCCAGGGCTGGTGACGGTAGGCTGAGAAAGCCAAGTGTGAACTCAGCTTTGCTCCAGCGCAGGCCCCTTGGATGGGGCTCTGACGATTTCGGCAAGGCCTACAGACCAGACAGGGTAGTGTTAGGAATGCTTGGGCTGGCTGGATGGTGAAGTGCTGCTTTCAAGGGTGGGTGGTGGCAGGGCGAGGTGTGAGATTGTTGGGAGGGGAGGGGAGTAAGCGGAAGCGGATACGTACGGCATGAGGTGAGGGGGAAGGAGAGGGGTTGGGGGGAGTGGGGGGAGAGGGGCCTGTGGTTGAGGGAGGCAGGCTGGGCTGGGACAGCGGCCCTGATAGAACGAGGCGAGAAGGCTTGCAAAGGTGTTGCACACGGCGGAAAAGCTTAAAAAGACGGTTTCGCTGGAAGCAAAACGGTGACGTTTGGTGGAAATATGAGCGCCACCCATCATCCTTGAGAAATCAGGTCGAACGGGACGCAAAACAGGGCCAAAACCAAGGGCGGGATTGCGGAGGTGGTCCAGTCGGGAAGGAAGACCTGCTTGATTTTGGTAACTGCGTAAACCTCTCCTGGCTACTGTCTCAAGTTTTCACTAAAGCCTATCACTTACTTCTGAAGCTCTGAACGGCGGCGGAAGTCGCGGCATTTCGACTAATCAATTGAGTGACAAACAATTACCTCTGGTATCATGTTGAATTACTCGAATTACCTTTTGTTCCTGGGGAATCCGACTCGTCCTACAGTCCTACTGCCTGTCACCCGTCCCCCCACGAGCCTCTTGTGCAAGGACCAACTTTCTGCTCCAGACAAAAGCGTCTTTCAAGTGGCTGAAGCGATTTCGCAACGATGACGATTCTTTCGCGAACGCCGAATGAGCGATTCCTTGAGTGGGCCAGTTAGATGGCTCCCTTGAGTTCCTGGCGGTAACATCGGGTCATCAGTATGTCAAACTCGTTTCAAGCAGTATATCTTGCACAATACCTTCTAGTGCAGGTAAGTTATTAACATGATTCTAAGCAACGTCAGTTTTTAGATGCCCACTAATCACATTAAGTGCACAATATAGCGGATGATTGCACTTTAAGTGCAATAAATAACATTTAATATCAGAAATAGATACTATATACATTCATCTAAATTTAATTCAATATGATAAGGCCTATAATGTTTCAATACGCAACGTGATGGAATTGGTTCCTATGATGTTAAGCACATTCCGTGCCATCATCGCGTGTATTGTTTAATCTTTTCCTTTTAGAGAACTGTTCTGATCAGCGATCCCCATGGAGCGTAATTTTCCCGCCATCCGTTTCACAGTCCACCCACTCCCGTCGCTCGAGATCTCCACCACCGCTGGGATCGAGGAAACGACTAAAATCTACCCATATCAGACGTTGTTAGACAAACATTACCCAGAATCCTAACACAATCCCGAATCTTGCAGATCCCGCTAACGTTGCGAGCATGTTGTTCAAAAAACGACGGGCACGAGACGTTGACGAACTGTCATTTCTCCTTTTTCTCGTTGATACAGTTTGCCAGGGCGAGAATCACAACACAGACTAAAAGATACTGCAGGTATTCCGTTAGCTTCAAATCCGCGACTCGCGAATATGGAGTACGACGAATAGGGGCGGTACACAACGGGTAAACTGGATAATAAAGTAGTATGAGGGATTTTATGTGGGATGGCGTAGGCCGTTTTACTCGTTTTGTTCACGATGGGTACCTTGGCGTATTGACCACTTGGGCCAGGTTACCAGCAATTTCGACGCGTATCATGTCAGGGGTCACGTGGCCTCTTAAAAAATGCTCAACGAATTTGTCGTCTGGTCAAAAACACGCGGAAATAAAAAGTCACACCTCGTTCTTGACATTCCCACAATCAACGCATGCTCAAAACAAGGAACACGAAACGGGCTAAATGGGACGAAAACTTGATCGCTTTTAAGCGGTTTAATGAAAACGAAAAAGACCCCCTTGAGAAAATCATTTTCGAATTGTGCAGTTATTAATGGTGATTGAGAGACAAGGGTCGTGTTTTCGTATTCGGGGCGGACCTGTTCATGTCACGTTGGAAGAATGAATATTTACGTGATTGGTTCTAAAAAATGGGAAATGCCTCGAATGCTCTTGACACGAGGATTAGAAGAGGACCATAATCGTAAGATAAAATGGGTGAAATGTTTGCATAGTACACGTGCCTGCGTACAGCTTGCTGATTGTCCAACTAGCAATATTTAGTTGGTCGTTGGGTCGCCATCTGGATTGCGACCCCAGTATATTGCGACTGAGTAGGATACATTGTGGTACAGCAGATATGCCATTAGGTCTATGACATTGTACTCCATATAATACTCTAACGTCCGGAATTCGATACGATCCACCACGATCTACCCTGTCTGTACGGTATACATCTACTGTTAGACTTCGCAAAAAAAACGGCAATAAACATAGTGACCAGTCACGACAGTCGCATAATGCCACCGATCATCGACGTGCGCCACCCGAATTGGGCGCGATTTTAGTATGCGAGCGTCGCCAACCAACCCGCGAGTGCGTGCTTGGAAAATCCCCATGAATTGTGTTTGGTATTGCCCAGGCAATACACGCTAGCCAGGGCGATGCTACGTACTCACGATGGACCGGGGGGGCGAACACAAAATCACAGACAGCCCGCTAGTACCCCTGTCCACCTGGCAATTTTGCATGCGCACTAGCATGGGCATGCCTACGTACCCCCTCGGCAGATGAGGCAGACAGAGGTCGTATTTACAGTCCGCCAAATTAGCCTCGAATCAGCAACCTAACTTCATCGCCGGGCTCAACCGGCTAGCCACAATGAGGTTACTTAGGAGGACATCGCTGACGATTGCTATGAAGGTCGGAATCTGCCGACATGCTGAAGCACATTCTCACCTTTGACTCGGCGACATTGCGCGGTGGTGTTTCACCAGATACGGTATCTATCCCGACCCCAGCACCATGGGGAAAATCCTGAAGGAGGCGGACAAGTGGAAGGCTCTTGGGCCTGGTAGCTCCGCCACTCGACGTCTGCGTTCTGCCTTCTACCCACTGCTTGAGCAGCGCCTGAAGTCATGGTTGGGCCGGGCGGCAAAGGGTGGGCTGCCCATCACCATCGTGTCATCGAACAACGTGCCAGGATTATGGCACCAGACGCCAGCGTGCCAGTTGGATTTAAGGCCAGAGTGGGGTGGGTGCAGAAAGCATTGAAGCGGATGGGATACAAATGGCGGCACTGGCAAGGCAAAGCTAACGACCAGGACCTTGGCGCAGTGATGACGACGAAGACCACTTGCCCGCAGCTGCTCACTCTGCTCGCCGTCGCGCCTCGCGACTGCTTCAACTATGACAAGACTGGATGTGCTTGGAACCAGATTCCGAAAATGACTATCGCAAACGGCCCTGTGAGTGGCGGCAAAAACAGGAAGGACCGCATAACCGTCACGCTGATGTGCAACGCCGATGGCTCGCAGATGTTCAAGCCCCTTATTGTGAGCAAAACCGCCAACCCTCGCTGCTTCGCCCGAAAGAAATTCGATCCTGCGACGAAGTGCGTGTGGCGCAGCAATGGTTCCGGCTGGATGACTAGCCTGGTAAGCGCCCGAAAGATTACCGTCTCCGCCCTTTTGAACCTACTGTGTGCATTCTGTGATTGCATGGTTGTTGCTGTTGCTTTTCTTGCCCACCGTATTTCGTAAACCCGACGTTCGAATTGCAATATTTCACCTCTTGTCCGCCGCATTTATTCACAGAATACATCGAGCACATCAACGCCTGCTGTTTTGCCGAGGGCCGCAGCATCGTCATCCTGCTGGACAACGCTAGCTGCCACAACCTCTCATGTCTCCGCTCGCCACATCGACTGACATCTTAGGCTTCTGAACTCGCGCGCTCAGCAACGTTCGTCTTGTATTTCTCCCGCCAAATAGTACCTGCTTTACGCAACCACTGGACCATGGGCTGATCGCGACACTGAAGGCTCGGTACCGAACGTTCCAGACCCTCAACATGTTCCGCGAATGGGAAGAGTTTCAGAGCGAGGGAATGCTGTTGCAGTACAAGCCCGATATGGTGCTGGTCATAACCTGGCTGTCGGACTTATGGTTCTTGATCGAGCCCGAGACCGTCCAAAAGTGCTGGTGGCGGACGCTTATCCTCCCTGCCAGCTGACTCGCGAGACTCCCGTGGTCGGCACCATAGCCGCTGAGCAGGAACATAACTTGCCCGACGAGTTCCCGCTAGTCGTTGAGAATTTGGCACGGCTGCCATGGGGCGACGAGGACCGCATGGATGCGGTCCAGTTCGTCACATGCAGCAGCGACGATGAGATATGCAACCCTTGTGGCGAGGATCCCCTTGCCTTGGAAACGCTGGGCTCTCCCACATGCGGCGCATGGTATCTCCGTGCATCGGCCATTGCGCAGCCCGTTCATGATTCGCGCTATCGCTGGCATCTTAGCCGCATGGCGACAGAGATGCTATTCGGTTATGTGCGGTCCATCGGGCTCCTACCGAGGGACCTCCGCATTCTGTTCGACATTCGAGACACGTCCGTCATTGATCGTCTTGAACGCGCATCCCCTCGTTTGGACCTAAACTGTGCTCCAGGTGTTGTTACACAAGAGTACCGGCAGCATGTGCTGCAGGCGACGGCCGTTATGGACGGCTGGGTGGACTCGGCTGAGTGGATGCGCTGAGGGAGCACTTTGTTGCGCTGCCTGTTGTGTGTTTTGTGTTGCGCTTGCTCTCGGGAGTGTGCAGACATTTGCTGTAGGGAGCGTGTTTAAAATGTGTGGTTGTTTTATTTTGCGAAAGTCCACTAGTTGTGAAAGTGTTGATGTGTCATTTCGGGTTTTTCATGGTTGGTTTGACTGTTTCGGTGTTCATAGACTGTTTGTTGTGTGTGTTGGACACTTTTTAATGACACATGTTTTGAAATCCTATGTGTCGCGTGGTAACTCAGAATGTCGCAGCATCGGACAAGGCACCCTTCTGTGAACAGAACATACCAGACAAGTCACTCCGACCCTCATATTCACTCGTTAGTCCATTTTGCCCCTACCGTACGGGCCCTATTCGACTAAGTCGATATATGCGAGTCGCAGATTTGGAGCATAGAGCATACCCGCTGTATTGGATTTCGCGAAAATAATCTGTGACTTTTGTCTAGCCACTCTCAAATCACAAGGAACCTCGTCAGAAATTCCATTGGCAGACGTGACATTTTGCGACGTTGACCGTACACTCTATAATAGTTGTATTCCGTACGATCGGAGTATAGCGTGCTGGATCCTACCGAATTATGGACGATATGATAGGATCTGGACAAAAATGTCAAGAACGTAATGGCATATCCGCTGTAACTACAAAATCGCATAGATTTCCACATTACGAAGCAGTGTTTTGGGCAGCGACAAAAAATACTATTACCCGTAGGGCAGCTCCGTGAGTTCAGGGTTTACCCATCCCGAACGGCATTCGGGTTTCCAAATGGTTTTAGTTTTTTTTCGTTGAGACCCAGTTCTGATTTTCCTTTAGCGACCAACAATCCTATTCTGACGTTTCCAACGATTTTCCGTTTTTGTCTTGAACTCAAACATTTGTGTGGGTTAATTGAGTGGCTTCGTGAATAGTGTGTCATCATATGACAACTTTACAGAAAAAGACATGATGAATAGGCGGATTCGGTAACTGTTTTGGATTTGGGTAGATGTTTGTCTAACGACTTTTGATTTGGGTAGCTTTTAGTCGTTTCCTCGATGGGATCACCTGGCACTTCTCAAAACTACTCCTCCGTCACTTCTCAAGTACTTGCCAGTCCAGCTCCTGTATTCGACCACGTCCAAGTTGTTCGAGAAGGTCGACATGGTTTGCCCTCCGCCTCGCGTGCCTGCTCAGTGTGTGAGAACGATCTAATGCGAGCACTGCGCGTGCCAGTGATATCAATGTGGTCGTGTCGATGACAATCGTCCAGTGAGGGGCTCGCCTACAGCTTCTCGAGAGATCGCAATTCGCGACGGTGCCGCAGGCCGAGCTGCTGGTTATGCCTTCGCCCTGAATTCGGCCGATCCGTTACGGCGTAACTCGTTTCTCGATGGACGGCGGTCGCAGAGGGGCGAAGAAGCCAGCTCCGAAGAGCAAGCTGGTCGTCAGCCGTGCCAAGTACGTCAATGCCTCTCTCTGTCTCCAGGAGTCATGCTTGGTACATTCACCTATCAGTCGCAAAACCGTCGTTTTTGTATCTCACCTTGTAACTAAACTAAGGCCGAACGGCCGGGTAGAACGCCCTAGCGCTGAGCGACTGTCGTGCGTCTCGCGTACCTCTCGCAGGGCTCTGATCTCTCCTCAGCATCTGGATTTCCCCCAAACCCCCCCCGCCAACCCACATTTTTGTTGATCTCACCATTCTACACCCACTCACCCATTCGGCCTGCTGAGACTGTTCCCTCTTCCTTCACCCTGTGCCCCTTCCCCCCCAAGGCATTCTTCCTCCGCCGATTCCGCCTCCCCCACATCCACCACTCCATGGAGTTCTCCGCCGATGGACCCTCTCCCCGCACCCCCCCGCCGCAGCCCAGATTCCTCCGCGCGCCCACTCCAGCTAGGGGGGCGCGGAGGCCAAGCGGGCAGTGGCGGAGGAGCTGGTAGGCTGAGCGGGGGCGGGGGCGGGATAGGAGTGGGGTTGGGGGGAGGGGCAGGGCGGAAGGGGTGGTCGGGACCACAGGGCAACGCGGGGAAGGGGAAGCATGGCGGGGGGAATGAGGGGTTTGGGGGGTGGGATGACGGGGGCGCGGGGTGGGAGCCGGACTGGGATGACATACCGGACGCGGAGGGGTTATCCAAGGGGAGGGCGGAACGGGGCATATCAGTGCGGGGGGCGGGGGGCGGGCGCGCGGGGATGGATGGACGGGGGCGTGGGGGTAGTGACGCGTCGAGAGGGGGTTTCCTGACGTATTTCAGCAATAAGAGGCGGTTGGTCGCGCTGGCGTGTATGGCGCTGCTTGTGATCGGCCTTGCTGGGGGCGTGTACTGGTTGCTGCTGGGGCAGCAGGAGGGAGCAGAGAAGAACAGCCTCTCGAGAATAGGCGAGCAGAAGGTGGACGGTGGGGGCGGAGAGACCACGGGAGGAGGGGTGAGGGGGGATCCTAGCTTCAGAGTGGGCGGGGAGGGGACGCGGGGAACGAGAGTGGGGGGAGGCGGGCAGAGCCGAGTGAAGGGGATTCGGCGGAGCCAGTAGGGGGGGAAGGGCTTGGGAACCGGGGTCTTGGGAGGGAGGGGGATGAGAGGGAGGGGGATGAGAGGGAGGGGTATGGAAGGGATGACGGGATGCGAGGAGGGGGGCAAAGAGAAGGGGGCGGAATGGGGGGGGATCGGGGGGAGCGGGGGAGCGGGGGGAGCAAAGGGGGGGGATGAAGGTGCTGGCCAGGCTGGGTCGATGATTGAGACGAGGGAGGAAGTGAGAGTGAGAGGGGTGGAGGGAGGGGGGGTGGCAGAGGGGGAGGTGAGGGTGGATGAGATAAGAGAAGTGGATGACAGGCGCGGGGATGGGGAGACGGGTAGAGGAGAGAGGGGAGCGGGCGAGGATGAGCGGGAGGAGCGAGTGAGAGAGGAGGGGGGGGGGGAGGAAGGCGGAGGGGAGGATGTGATGGGAGGGAAAGGGGACAAGGGGGACTATGGGGATGATGCAGAGAGGAGCATGGTGGAGGACGTTCTAGATAGGGAGAGAGAGGGTGGGGACAGGGAGCGGCAAGGTGAGGAAGAAAGTGAGGGAGGAGAGGGTGATGATGCGGCGAAGGAGAGTGTGAGGGGACTGTCAGAGGTGGCGAGGGATGAGGGGGAGGGCGATTCAGCGGAGGGAGATGTGGGGGAGGGCGTACCTGAGCCTGATGACGTGGAGACAGGAGGGAGGGTTGATGATGGGGCGAGAGTGAGAGATGGGGAAGAGAGAGAGAGGGAGGACGAAGGAGGAAGAGGAGGGAGGAGGGGTAGCGGGGAGGAGAGCGAAGAGCAGGTTGGGGATGAGCAAGGGGAAGAGGGGGAAGGTGGGTATGGGGGGGCAGAAGGGGACGATAGGAAGGCACGAAGAGAAAGTGGGGGGAGACGTGGGAAGGGTGAAGAGGGAGCGGAAGGGGAGGGGGAGAGAGGTGAGGGTTTTGCGGAAAGGAGAGGTGAGGACGGAGACGAGAGTGGGGAGGAAAGGGAGGGCGACAATGGGGACACTGGGGAAGGAGAGGAGCTTGGGGGGGGAAGAAATGGTTCAGAGATGCAAGGAGTCGAAGAAGCGGATGAGCTAATAATGGGGATGGGAGGGGGCGAGAGGAGCATGAAAAGAAAGAAGACAGGTGCGGAGAGGGGAGGCAGAAAAGCGGAGAAGAGAGTGGTGGAGGAGGTTGAGAGTGACATGTATGATGGGGATACGGGAGACGGGAGAGAGGGGGGGGATGTCAAGGAGGAGGATGGACGGGAAGAGGAAGAGAGGCGGGCTATGGCGAACGAAGAGGCTAGACACAGGGGTGCTGCTGAGGTGGAAGAGGTGGTGGAAGATGACCGGGAGGGAGGAGAAGGGGAGGAGAGTGGCGAAGAGGGTGGGGAAGAGAGCAGAGTAGAGCACGAGGAGGGCTTTGGTGCGAGGGCGAGAGGGAAGAGAGGTGGGGAGGAAAGGGAGGAAGAGAGGGATGAGGACGGGGAGCGGGGTGAGGAGGAGGTGGACGGGAAGGGGAGGCGCAGAGGCGGTGTGGGTGAGGAAGGATTGAGCGAGGAGGGAGAGAGGCTAGGGAGGGATGCTGGTGAGGAATTTGAGTCTTCAGCAGGGGGTGAGGACGAGGAAGGTGGAACCAAGAGGAGAGGCAAACGGGCAACGAGAAAGAGGGCTTTAGAAGGTGAAGAGGAGGAGGAAGGAAGCAGTGGGAGGAGGAGGGAGATGGAAGAGGATGGCAGGGACTATGGTGCTGAGCAGAGCGCGACTGAAGAGAGGAAAGGAAGGGGCGGTAGGAGTGGAGAAGGTGGGGACGAGGAGGAAGGGGAAGCGGCGGAGGGGAGTGGGGGGAGAGAAAAGCGAGTTGGTCGAGCCAAAGAGGAAGAGGAGGAGGAGGAGGAGGAGGAGGAGGGGGGCGAGGGAGAAATTGGGTCTGTGCGTTCAAGGAAGAAGAAGAGAAGGGTGAGTCGGAGGGAAGAGGAGAGAAATGAAATGGAGGGAGAGGGAGGAAGGGAAGTACGGCGCGAAGAGGAGGGAGGAGGAAGCTACAGAGAGGGTGGTGTGAGAGAGAAAAAGACACGGGTTGGGTTGCGTAGCACCTCTGGGAGGAAGGTAAGAGTGAGAAAGAAAGGGAAAGGGGCGTCTGGGGCTGGAGATACGGACTTAGCAGCCCTAGAGCAGCAGCTAGACGAGATGGACGAGATGATCCGAGATGCTGGGGGGGAGAAGGAGGCGGAGGGGGAGGGGGAAGGTGAGGGGGAGCGGAAGGGGGATGAGAGGAGAGACGAGGAAGGGGAAGTGGAGAGACGGACGGAGAGAGGTGGCGAGAGGGGCATGCGTGCTAGTGGGGAGGGACGTGTGCGTGTGGGTAAGCGAAGGAAGGGAAGGGAGAGTCAAGGGGGTGAGGAAGGGGAGGTGGAGGAAGAGGGAGATGAGGAGGTAGGGAGACAGGATGATGGGGAGAGGAGAGGAAGGGGCATGCTGAGAAGAGGAAAGGGAGAAGGGAAAGTGCAAGAGAAGAGAGTGAGAGAGGAAGCGGATGAGGCTGGGGAGGAATATTCTAAAGAGAAGGAAGGAAGGGAAGAAGATGAAAGTGTGAAAGAGGAGGAAAGTGGGGAAGGCCGGAAAAGAGAGAAAGTGGAGGGAAGAGGGAAAGAGGACGAGAGAGAGAAGGATGAAGAGAAGTCTGCAAAAAGAGCAAAGGAGGAGGAATCAGAGGAAGAGGAGGAAACACGGGAAAAGGACGACGCACAGGAAAGTGAGGAAACAGGGGAGGAGGAGGACAGCAAGAAAGGAGTGCAAGTGCGAGGAGAGGGAAGTCTGAGAAAGAAGGTGTCTGGAACACAGGAGAGTGAGAGAGAGGAGAGTGAGGGAGGAGAAGAGAAGGAAACAGTGATGAAGGGGAAAGGAAGTCGTAAGGACGAGGAGGAAGAGGAGAATGGGGAGGATAAAAACTATCGGAAGGGAAAGGTAGACGAAGAAGCAGAAGAGGGTGCTGGGGAAGGAGAAGGGGCGCAAGGTGGCCGTGCGCGTGGTGTGCATAGCGCAGTGAGGAATGGGCTAGTGAGTGAGAAGGGGCAAGGTGTAGAGAGTGAGGGAGAGAGCGAGGGAGAGAGCGAGGGGGAGAGCGAGGGAGAGAGCGGGGGAGGGCGCAATGCAGCAGGGGAGGATGATGATGGTGATGCCGCTGTAAGTAAACAATTCGTGAAGCGAGGTGGGGGGAAGGGAAGGAGCAGGCATGGGGAGAGCGAGGGAGGGGGAATGGAAAATGACGAACCGGTGGAGGGTGGCAGTGAGAGGGCAAGCGCAAAGGAACGAGTGAGGGGAGAATCAGATGAGGAAGAGAAAGAAGTGCTGAAGGTGAAGGGAGGAGTGGAGGAGGGAGGAGCGAAGGAGGTGGTGAGGGAGGAGGATCTGGAGCAGCTGGGCGTGCAGCGCAGCCGAGTGAGGGTGTCGGAGCAGCCCCGGGTGGTGGAAGACGCAGACCAGGCTGCTGTGGCCGATACGCAGGTGGAGATGGTGGCAGGGGCGCGGGGGAAACAGACGGTGGGAGGACGTGGGGGGGAAGAGGAGGAGGAGAAGACGAGTGAAGTCACTGAGAGGAGTGGGAGGAGGGGAGAGGATGAGGCAGGAGATGGTGAAAGGGAGGCGGAAGAGAAGGCTAGTGGAGAGGGTGTGAAGGATGAGGATGCAACAGAGGAGACGAGGGGGGATAAGAGAGTGAGCATGAGGGTGGGGAAGAGCAGTGGTGGAGGAGAGGACGAGGGTAATGAGGGTGATGAGAAGGTAGGGGGGAAAGGGAATGAGGGAAGGGAGAGTGGTGGGGAGAGGGACGGAAATGAGGAAAAGGGCAGAGAGGAAGTGGACGAGGAACAAGGCACGGAGGAACACAAGGAAAGGAACAAAGGCAAGGAGGTTGACGAGGAGGAGGAGGAAAAAGGGAAAGAGCAGGGCAAGGAACGACAGCAGGCAGGATTGAGTCAGGCAGTGCAAGAGCAGGCTGATGGCGATACAAGGCCGAAGCGTGAGACAGCGCAGCGTGAAGGTGCTGATTCCGAGAAAGGAGCAGCATTGGAGAAGGCTGGTGAGGAGGGCCTGGTTGGACGTGGGAACGAGGGTGTGCTGAAAACTGAGGAAGGAGGAGGAGGAGGTGGTGAGGTGAACGAGGAAGAGAGTGAAGGGACAGATCAGGCGAACGGGAAGGGGAAGGAGAGAGATGCAGAGGAGGAGGGAGGAGCGAAGGAGGTGGTGAGGGAGGAGGATCTGGAGCAGCTCGGCGTGCAGCGCAGCCGAGTGAGGGTGTCGGAGCAGCCCCGGGTGGTGGAGGACGCAGACCAGGCTGCTGTGGCCGACACACAAGTGGAGATGGTGGCAGGGGCGCGGGGGGCACATGGCAGAGAGGAGGAGGAGAGGAGGGGAAAAGCAAAGGCGAGAATGGGAGGGGCGGTAAGGGATAGAGAAGGAGAAGCTGAAGAGGGCGGGAAGGAGGTTGTGGGTGAGGACAGGGGGGACATGGAAAAGAATAGTGAGGGTGCAGGGAAGGAAGATGAGAGGAAGACGGATGGGGGGAAGGAGGATGGGGGGAAGGAGGATGGGGGGAAGGAGGATGGGGGAAGGAGGATGAGGGGAAGGAGGATGAGGGGAAGAATAGCGGAGGGGAAAATGATGCACCAGCCAAGGCAGTAGGCAGGGAAGAGGTGGAAGATAAGAGTGTACCGGAGAAAGAGTCGGCTAGTGCCAGGGTGAAGGAGGAAGAGGCGGAGGAGAGAAGGGAAACTGGCGATTCGGTTACAAGAAAAGGAGAAGAGGAGGCTGATGCGGGGTTGGAGGCTGAGAAGACAGCGAAGAGGAGTGGGTCGGAGAGTGGTGATGATGTGAGTGGTGGCGGCAAGGGCATTCGTGAAGTGGTGGATTCGGCAAGCAATGAGGTGCTCACAGGGGGCGAAGCAGGGAGGATGGATGAAGCCACAAAGGAGCCACCACCACAAGCACCAGCGGCAGCAGCAGCAGCAGCAGCAGCAGCAGGAGCAGCAGGAGCAGGGGGCGCAGGGGCAGGGGCAGGAGACGGAGGAGGTGGAGGGGCAGGTGAAGCAGGGGATGAGTCGGCGGGTGGCATTGCAGTGGGAGCAGCTGGATCACCCAGCAGCCTCCATAGCAATACCAGTGGCAGTGCCTCGGGATCTCCTGCGTCTGCAGAGCACAAAGGGGTTGACAGTGATGGGGGGAGTGGGAATGATATCCGGGAAGGGGGAGTGGGAATGATACCAGGGAATGATACTTCTAGTGCCGTTGCTGGTGCTGAGAGTGAGGGAGGGAAGGGGGTTGAGGAGAGTGCGGGCAACCCTGCAGCGGACGCGCCATTGGCGTCTGTTGCGTCTGCTGCTGATGCTTCTAGTGGTCTTTCTCTGCCCCCGGGCGGTTCCATGGTTGGAGGTGCGTCAGCTGCTGCTGGTGGTGATGATGATGCTGCTGCTGGGGAGAGCGAGGGTCGAGGGGACGGAGGTGATGGGGAGGGTGGAAAGGCAGCGAAAAGCAAGAAGAAGAAGTCTACGAAGAAGAAGAGTAAGAAGAGCAAGAAGAGTAAGACAAGCAAGTCTTCGAGGGCGGTGAGCGATGAGATGGTTGGGGGAGAGGGACTGGAGAAGGGAGAGCCTGCTAGCAGCAGCAGCAACGAAGGCAGCAGTAGCGAAGACAGTACCAGAGATGCCGATGCGGCAGAGAGAGGTGCAAGTGAAGCAGGCTCCACCAGAACGCCCCCTGGCGGTACAGGTGCCACTAGCTCATCGCAAGCAGCAACGGGCTCAGATGGTGGGGGGGGAGACGGGGCAGGTAGAGACAAGGAAGGGGATGGATTGAGTGGGAAGCAGGGGGGTAGGGATGGAGGGAGTGAAGAGAGCACGAGTGAAGAGACAGAGAGGGTCGTGGATTTGTCGGAAGAGCATGTGCGGGGGTCCGTGCAGGGCGAAGCGGAGCGGAAGGAAGAATCAGAATCAACGATGGGAGGTGGGGAGGCGGAGAAGAAAGAGAGGGGAGAAGGGGGAGAAAGCCAACGAGAGGAGTCTCTGGGCAAGGCAAAGTCAAAGACAAAGATGAATACCAAGACAAAGACGAAGACCAAAAGGAGGAAGAAGAAGAAAGCAGAGGAGACAGGAGAGGACAGTGGAGAGAAGGAGCAAGAGGAGAATGGCAGAGGGAGCTCAGGGGGTGCGGACGTGCGAGGTGAGAACGTGTCCGGTTTGAAAGAGCATCAGGAGGAAGGGGCAGTAGACGGTCAGTCGAGGGGTGAAAGCAGCAAGGCCAATGAGAGGATTGAAGGGCTTGGTAGTACTGAGGCAGAGGGGGGAGCAGGAGGAGGGGGACGAGGAGGAGGTTTGGTGCAGGCTGGTGGGAAGCAGGACGTGCAAGGTGGTGAGGCAGTAGGTGAGGCAGTGGGTGAGGCAGGGGGTGAGGCAGGGGGTGAGGCAGGGGGTGAGGCAGGGGGTGAGGCAGGGGGTGAGGCAGGGGGTGAGGCAGGGGGTGAGGCAGGGGGTGAGGCAGGGGGTGAGGCAGGGAGTGAGGAGAGTAGCCATGGCAGGGGAGGGGGTGGGTCAAAGGATGGCAGCACATATGGCATGGATGGGTCCAAGAAAACGAAGAGAACCAAGAGAAAGAAGAGCCGAAAGGCACTAGAGTCATAGGAGCCTGAGTTGATGAGTGGCTGGCTGGGCCTTGGACGCTAGTGTTTGGTCTGATGTAGAGACTAACCGTAGGTGCTATCCTATCCTATGCCTGCATTTGTTATGACTAGGGACATCAGAGGGCATGAGTTAATGTAGGGAAAGATTAAGAAGACTTTTGTTGCATTGCAGGGTCTGGCTTCCAGTGTTCACTGAAGGCCTGCTGTTAGGGGAAAGTCTCAGAGTAGAAAAAAGTGAACTAGAATAAGGCATATAGGTTGACTTTGTTCAAGTGGTTGTACCCTCTAAGAGCATGCACCTATCTAGCTTATTAACTATACAAATAAGTTTGACACACCCCCTAGGCCAGATGAGGTGCAGTGCCTGGAAATCGGCACACAGCATAGGGTGGCACTACTAGTCCAGCCTCTGAGGCAAGGGTCCGAAGACCAGTCAGCAAGAAGACCAGCTAAACAAGAGCAACCCAGGGCGGTACTACTAGTCCGACCAATGGGACAGGAGCCACAAGGCTAGTCAAGAGAACATAAAAGGAGTACACAATCAGGGTCCTGGCAAGTGAGAGTCTACAGGAACTAAACCAAGATGTACACAGTGCCGCTGATGGTCTTTAGGCGCAAGCGCCTCAGTAAAGATATCAGCTGTGTTGGCATTGGAGGCCAAGTGTACTACGCGGGCCTGGCGGCGTTGCTGCAGCTCGCGCAGGAGGAAGTGCCGCAGCTGGATGTGCTTCGCTCTGCCCTCTAGTCGAGGCCCCTGACATAGGAGGACCATGGCCCGGTTGTCAGCATATAGGACTGGGGCAGAGCTAGGCCGCTCACCTAAGTCTCTGAGCAAGAAAGTCAGCCAGCGGAGCTCATGTGCCGCCATGGCACCAGCGTAGATCTCAGCCCCGCAACTGAACTGTGCAACAGATGACGAGCGAGTAGACCTCCACGAGACCGCACCTGCACCAAGGCTAAAGCAGTAGCCTTGAGAGGACCTGAGGGTCTCAGCGTCGTCTGCCCAAGAAGCGTCTGTGTGCCCAGAAAGGACCAATGGCCTACGTCCTCCCAGTACTAGCCCCATACTCGATGTACTTGCTAGATAACGCAAAACCCACTTAGCAGCCGACCAGTGCTGTGGTCGGTGTCTGCATGTGGCCACAAAGCGACTCAGGATGCTGAGAGGGTATGCGAGATCTGGACGAGTGCAAGTCATCAGGTACATGAGGCAACCCACCAGCTCTGTGTAAGGACCACTGGGCTCTATTGAATCCTCAGGAACTGGAGCTGAGAACCTGTGATCTACTGGCAGAGGTGTGGTCTGTGCGGTGGAAAACTGAAGACCGAACCGCTGAAGGACCTGGCGCACCAATTGTGACTGTATGAGAGTGGTGGTGCGTGCTGCTCTGTCCCCGGAGATCTGCAGGCCAAGGTAGCAGCGCAGCTCTCCTAGGTCAGTGCAGGTGTATCTCCTCAGCAACTCGCCCTTCACGGAGGCCAGTGCGTCTCTCTCTGCAGTAGTGAAGATCAGGTTGTCTACGTAGACAAGGATGTAGAAAAGAGTCTGACCAGCACAAACGAAGAACGAGGGGTCTGTAGCGGACGGAAAGAACAGCAGGTCAGCTAGCGTAGAACGCAGAGTGTCATGCCACTTACGGGGTGCCTATCGCAGGCCGTAGACCGGGCGCCGGAGGAGCCAGTGGGTCCCAAGAGGGAAGGTACCGGTAAAGCCCTGTGGACGGCGCAAGTAGACCAGCTCGTGTAGGCTGCTCTGAAGAAAAGCAGTGGAGAAATCGAGGGAGTGGAGCTCGTAGTCACGCTGTGCTGCTACGTGAAGCAGCGCCCGAAGAGTAGTCATCTTCGGGGTCAGGGCGAAGGTCTGAAAGGAGTCCACCCCCTCTTGCTGACTGAAGCCTCTAGTCACATAGCGCGTGTTGAAGACAATCGGCTCTCCAGGAGGACGCTTCACCTTGAAGAGCCACCGGCCATCGACTACATCCACCCCAGGTGGGGGATTTGCGTCGACGTAGGTGCAGGTGGATCTCCAAGATGCCATCTCCTGCTCCATGGCAGCTATCCACTGAGATGCCCAGGGTCCCGAGTTTGCCTCAGCGTAAGTGCGAGGGGTCGGGATATCAAAGGCGTCTGGGTCACCCTCAGGGACTAGCAACATGGAACAGAGATGGGGAGCTGCCTCAGACAGGAAAGCGAGCTCGAACTGTCTGTCCTCTAGGTTGTCATTGCCACGGGTAAGAGCACTCCCGACGGACGGAGGACAGACAGGGTCAGAGACCAGAGCGGTGGCATAGTCAAGGCGGCGGGTAGAGGCGAATTCAGCGACATCAGCGATAAGGGCATCAAGACTCGAAACAGGAATAGACGCGTCGGCAACGAGGGAGGCAAGGACCCGAGGAACAAGAGGACAAGCAGCACGAAGGTAGTCAGATAGAGAGAGAGGTGCGACAACGAGCGATGACAAAGGGGGCGAAGGCAAGAGGGGAGGACGAGACGCGTGGGAACGAAGCAACATAGGGTGATAACACTGAACAGGAGAGACAGAACGAGCATGAGAGGGACGGCGAGACTAGACGTGAGACGGAGGCGTCGGGTCAGGAGACAGAGGAGGAGTAACAGGAGGGTGACGAGGTGGGAAACGGGCCGGGGACGAGTCCGGCGGAGGAAACACAGGACCGTGGACAGGAAGGAGAGGAGGCGGTGGGAAAGGCGCAGGCGAGTTGTCAGGGGAAGGAAGGCCGAGCAGGCGAAGGGCGGACACCGGCGGCGACTGCTGCTGCTGCTACTTGACGCCGACACCGGGACTGCCAGCTGCACTACGGCTACCTCTGGAACACTCCACTCCAGCACCCCCAGAGCGAGAACCCTCTCCAACACTGGTTCCACCCCCAAGCCCGCAGGAACAAGCTACAACAAGAACCCCAGGACTAGCACCCTCCTCAACTCCAGCACCCCCAGAGTCCACAAACGGCTGCTGCTGCTGCGGCGGCAGATGCGGCTGCGACGACGGCTGCAGTGGGGACTGCGACGACGGCTGCAGCGGGGACTGCGACGACGGAGGAGGGGACACCGTGGGAGAGGCAAGCGGCGAGAACTGCGCCGCAGGGCCACCAAAGTCAGCCGACTCCTCGACTGGGACAACCGACAGGAGGGGAGTGACGTGAGACACACCAGACGGAGCAGGATGGGGAGGGAGGGGAGCATGCGCTACCGGGGTAGTGGGAACAAGAAACAGGGGTGCAAAAACGGGGAGACCTCGGTGGAGAAAGCGACGGTAAAAGGAGACAGACTTGTCTCAACTGACGCCATGCGAGTGAAGGAAGCGGTGAGATGGCGGGTGGTAAGAGTACCAGTCAGACGAGCTAAGGGGGGAACCAAGGAAGACACAGGAGACAGTGCAGGCAGTGAGCTTTTCCGTGCCAGAGGCAAGAACGTCAGCGAGGCATCCCCAGATGTAGAACGCAGATGTGTCACTAGGAGACCCAGTCTAGAGGAGGGTCGGTGAAACTTGCGGCCGCTGGGAGTGGGGCCACATGTTCATCGGGTAAGCGGCGTAGCGAACAGCGAACGGCCATAGAAAATGGGGTGCACCGGCATGAATCATGGCGGTACGAGCCACATCCATGACCAAGCCGATGCATCGCTCACCGACCGCATTCTGCTGCGGGGAGTCCGGCAGGGTGTACAACGGGGTGATGCCCTCCTCACTACAGAACCGGCCAAGCCGACCGGAGGCAAACTCGCCGCCACGGTCGGAGTGGAGACACAGCACGGGGAGACCTCGGCGGACTCGCGCAGCTACAACCCATGGGATAAGAATGCTGGCACGTTAGCCTTCCGCTTCAGAGGAAACACCGTGGTGTAGCGCGTGTAGTCATTGACGAGCACCAAGAAGTAGCGCTGTCGACGCGGCCCAGGGAAGGGGGTTGGACCCCAGACGTCCAGGTGCAGGGTCTAGAGTGGCGCGGTGGCAGGGCGAAGCGAGGTGGAATGAGGAGCGCGGTGCAGCCAACCCTCGACGCAGGGCGTGCACGGTGGCGCAGGCGAGGGAGGGAGGGAAGGGAGCGATGCAGGGAGATCTAGGACAAGACCATGCAGGGACATGTGACGCAGACGCGGGAGTGCAGGGTGACCTAGGCGGTGGTGCCACTGAAGTGACGGGTGAGTGAGCGACCGACACGAGCAAGCCACGGCTACCTGGGGGGATGCTCGCACCTGGGGGGATGCCCGCACCGGGGGGAACGCAGTGTCAAGCATAAACACGCGGGAGACAGGTTCCCGGGGGAACGTGGTCAGAGGAGCACCAGTGGCAGTCTCAGTACTAGCCGCGTACCGCTTGTGTCCGGGGAACGTAGTGATGACGCCGAGGTCCTGAAGACAGCTGACACCAACTAGGTTCCTAGAGAACAAGGGGATGTGCAGGCCTGTAAGAGAGCCCGAGGGGACCGCTGGACAGGGAAGGGTGGTGGAGCTACGTGCAACTACCAGACCTGAGGAGGGGTATGCAAGTGCGACGGCAGCAAGGGCGGCAAGCGGTGCAAGGGAAGTGTGGTCGCGGAAGAAGCAGGTAGACGCACCAGAGTCAAGCGTGAAGGAGAGCGAAGCGCTAGCGGCAGTTGGCGGAGGAGCTAGTGTGGAGCCTAGGCTAGATTGCCTAAACAAGGCAGACGTTCCTATGCCCGACGCAGCAAGGGAGCCTAGACTACACACAGTGGACACACCTATGCTAGGCAACACCAGGTTATAGGGTCTAATCACACTAGAGTCATCAGCATACATGACAGACATAGCATGCCTAATCTGATCCATGTCAAGCTCAAAGACCAGCACACGACGGCGAGCCAGGGCGTATCAATCCGGAGGGTCCGACGCAGGACCGAAGTGGTGGCGGAACACGTCATCCAGGCGGCGGTAGCAGCGGTCGGCGGTGTGGTCGGGCCGGAGGCAGACAGTGCTGCAGCGAGTACCGGTCTGAAGCTAGTACTGGCAGGTGACCGCGATTGAGCTGGCACCCGACACCGAGCTGCGCCCGCCCCCCCCACGACCACTGTCGCTGGCGTCGCCAGTCCACAGCGGCGGCGAGGGTCTTCACGGCGATTGCTGCTGCTGCGACGACTGCTTCGGCGGCTGTGGCTGCTGCGACTGCTGAGTCTGCTGCTGAGGCTGCGTCTGCTGCTGCGACTGCTCCGGGGTATCAGTCCCGGTCCCCTCGTCTGAACCACCGTCCCCGCCCTCACTGCCGGCACCCTCC